TAATAATAATTGCAAAAACTATAGTTAAAGGTCTCGGTGTAATGGCAGTATAAGGGACAAAGCTCTTGCCAAAGGAAAATAGCTACCAGAAGCCCATATGGCATGGTCGCTTTTGCGGTTGGCGATTCGTTATTTGTATATAAAGTCTTCAAATTTTTGTATCAAGCACCATTTTTGGAGCTTATCGTTGTGAAACCATTGGTCTGAGTCCGTTTCGTATAAAAATAACAATAGTTTGATAGAACAAAACTAATTGAATTTTCGTAAAAAAAAACTATTTTGCTACAGCTAACTGGTCTGATTCCTTTTAGATTTAACCATAGCAATAGTAAGAAGTCGACGTAATACAAAGGAAAAAGAGAAAAAGAATTGTTTCGAACAATTTGTCGGAATAGCAGCTTTGATTTGTATTAGAGTAAGTAAGGATTTTATGTCTTGTGGCGTATCGTTTGACGACATTGTGATTTTTTCACAGCTGCAATATTTTGAGTTTCTCCTAAACGTCATCTTAAAAAATAAACGATGAAAAAATTCAATTTACTTCTTAAAGTAGTTTAATTCAAAAACCTTTCATTGAGTCCTAAACTCATGATTTCTCGGAAGAGTGAACATTTCATTAAATATATGTTCTTGTTTATATATAAATTGAAAGATAGATAGAGTCTTCTCCTTGTCTAGCCGTAAACGGCAAATATATAACAGTCAATATTTGTTCCAAACACTCTGGATAGATATTATTCTCATATCGTTCTAACTTTAGAAAAGATGTGGCAATATTTGGCAAAAATCGATTGAACTCTCAGAGCTGTTCAGTTCTGCAGAAATTTCTCTATTATTTTCATAGTAAAAATAGATTTTTATTGAATAGGCTGTGTTAAAAATGGATTTTTTATGTAAATGTTTAAACTTGATTTCTCAGATATTTCTCCATTGTGATTTACGATTTTGTGATTATTCGAAATGTTATGGAAATTTGATGTTTTTAGAAATTGCAAAGATTTGTAAATGATAAAATCCTTTGTTTTTTGATAATTCGCTTTGAAAAATTGCTTAATCATATACATGATATAGTTAGTAAAGTAGCCTTAATGAAACATTTTGAAATAAATCTGTTAAAAGACGCCGCATATAATCAGTCGGTAGTTGATTGTAAGGTGTTTTAACATATCTTATGACAAGTATCTAAAGAAAAGACTACATTTTTCAAATTCACCACTAACAAATAAGGAACTAATTGAAGTCAAACTCATTTGCTATAATGCAATATGCACAAAATCAGTTTTAAATAAATAACTAAAGTATGTTTAAGTGCGGTCTTCACCAGTACATTTGTTTGTTTGTTTGTTCGGCTGTTTGGTTGGTTAGTTTTACACCGATTTAAAGAGATTGTTTAGTCATATCTTGGCGTTCGGCAATGCTTTCCTGGATAAATCGCCTGTAATAACGAATTTCTCAGGCAAGTGACAGACTGCTAATCCCAAAAGATTCCCGAATCAGCAGTGAGCGATAAATGACCATTAGGATCAATTATAACAGAGAAATTTTGATCGTACCTCTTTAACAAGAGTATTCGTAAACTGATGTTGTTTTTTTATCAAACAAGATCGATATGCACTTACGTAGGAACTATGATGCATGAAATGATGAAATATCCATTTATTGCTGAATAAATCTTAATAATTATAGATAGAAAGACAATTCTAAGTATATGAAAGTATGCGCATGTTTTGTTTTAAATGTTATTCCGCCCGGGAAATTAATTTCATAACATATTGCCTGAATAAGTGAAACCGTTTGTACATTGATTTTACAAAAATGATGCAAATGCATTGAGTTGATATTGTTAATACTTAAGTTGCTGAATTTCTTAAATGTACGTTTGTAGCTTTCATTTTTGGGGGACTGTTTATTATCAATTTCAGGAATTGGAAGCTGGTAAGCCAACAGTATAGGGCCTGGTCAGTCTGCATGGATGTGCAGGCTGGTCTGGCTCTATATTTACGGCATCAGCTAACAACTGAGTCGATACAACATACCCTTTTTAACCTTTGTGAACAACTGGTTTAATATTATTCAATACATTATTAATGGCATAATACAATAAATTTGACTTATTATTCATTAACATATTTAAGTCAATAATCTAATGAAGACTTTCTTTTAAAACTCGCAAGGTATTATCAATAATGAATTTCTTTTTACCATCTTTTTTGTAATTAATATTAACTAGAAAGTCTGGAAAAGAGAAATTACTTGGAAGCAATGGATGTAAAAGAAATTGTTGAAAATTGCATACTCGGGTTGACTGGGTCTATTAATAAGAGGTAATGAAGATTGCTACTACTCCAACGCCCCCATAGCACCGGCTAAAGTTTTATTCCATCCTCAACACTTAATGATTGTTTTGCATGTACAATGTATGTACTCAGACGTCACGTGTAAAGTACTGATGAATTCAAGGGTTCTCAGCTGTCAAACAAACAATTCCGATAATGTCGCACGGAAATAAAATAGTGACATACATGTATAAGTTGTGTTACATGTACCACTATGTATATTTATACCACATTAAAGCATATCATGCCAATCTAAGTGTTAATGGTCAAATAACAGGTAAAAAAGAAAAAAAAGCTTCACATTTTGCGATAATAATGTTCAATTCTATATTTTACTACAAAAATGAATAATTCACACGAACAACAGAAATTTCTATAAATATCGTTAAGAATTTATCGGTAACGCTCAATTCTTAAAATGAGTGGTTCAACTTAAAATGTAAAATTAGATATACCGGTAATATATAAAAGCTTTCGAAACAGACTTTGAAAAGATCGCCCTTGCATCGGTGTTGTATGTTGAAGAACAGTTTGTTTCTGCTGGTGTGAATAGCCATTAAATAGTAAACACTCGCACGTACCTATCCATACCTTAATGAAGTTAGTCATTTGCCTAATGACATAAGTGTTCTTGACAGTTCTTTTGTGCGTTTTTCAAAAACTTGACTACTGCTCCTAATATGCAAGTCCGCTTTTCATGCAATACACTTTTAATCATTAAATTGCAAACGCCATTTCAGAGGAAGCAACCGAATTGTTTGGGGTTTTGTTTTTTTATGGTTTTTTAACAATTTTTCAATCAAATAATTATCTTTAAACTGCTACTATTTATGTCTTTATTTTATCTTTGGGCAAGTTTATTTCATGACAAAGTAACAACAGGTTTCATAGAGTGTCCCAAAAATAGCTCCAATCTAAAGAATCTAGGCTGACTGACTTTAAGGTCATAAGAATCAAAGAAATAATTAAGTACGATTGCTTCCCTTTTGATATATTACCGACCAACCGTGTATGTGATTATGTGAGTTAAATTAATCATTAAATACAGCAGGCAATTTATTCTAGTCCGCCCTAAACTCATCAATTTGTCTCACACTAACGCATCTATTATGTTGTACTATATTATTGATTGCTTGGTGCAAACTACATTTGTATACATGTATACTTTTACAAAATAACTTCTTTTATATTATTTGTACTTTTAATAAAAGCAATTATATCACACAATGACGCTCTTGAATTTAAATATTATTCTTCCAAGTGCTAAAAGAAGTATCAAATGATATAAGTAACATACAATACAAGCTTTTTGTACAAAATGGTGCATTTAAATTACACGACAATCCGCAAGAGAATAACAAAAATAGTGTAAAAGCAACTTTAAAGATTATTTTCATTTGGAACAGCATTAAATTATATCTGCTTTAAGGTCCATTATGCCTCAGAAATGGTAATATTTTCATTTTTCAAAACCTTTTTAACTTTCGTGTACTCTAAGAATTTGCAAAAAGATACTCATTTGTCAATTATCTGAACCATCTATGTCATCAGTTGCTGTTTGGCAATAAGTGTAGTTATAGTAAATTAGTATTTTTATGGAAGTCAAAAAACTACTTTGTTTACATTTTGCTACTTTTACGGTATATTATTTCACATTTATCGCTACATTCTTCAGGTAACAAGCATCTAACAATCTTGAAAATCATTATTTAAACATTATAAAATTCATTTTTGCACTTACTAAAGAAGTAAGAGTGTTTTTGTTTCTGAGGCTTGTTGTGCCTTTCATAGGAATAAATAGGAATAAAATATGTCTTATCTTAATTCTCCTAAAAAGATCTACAAATGTCAGACGATGTTCACATTAAAGTTTTGTAATATAAAAAAGTCATAATGGTACAATTCCATCGGAAAAAAGTATTCACATCACGCCTTAAGCTTACAGATATAAAACACATAATTATAGAAGCAATCAGATTACACTTACTTGGTTTTTACAAGTCATATATTGTATATATAGTTAAAAAAAATGTACAAACTATTAAAGCATTTAATGACATTATAAAGTCAATTATAATATATCATTATTGTTAACCCAAAGTCAAAGAGTCTTATTTAAGTATTTACAATAGTAATTGCATTTTATAGTCTAAGTTTCATGCTTACGCAAGTTCACCGACTTTACAGCTATTACCCCTGGTAGGTAGGTAGTAGGATTTGTCTCAAATGAATGTAACTTAAGGTCTTTAGCTTACCCGATTTGAAACTATGTCAGGACGTCTAGCGCAGCAGACGATAGAACAAATGTTTTAAAAGCGGCTTATAAAGCATATTAAATTTTGGAAGCCAGAACTTAGACGAACGGTGAATCAATATAAGCTTTTATACGCTACAAAAGTCAAATCAAATGGTGTAATATGCAAGAATGGTGAATCAATATAAGCTTCTATACGCTACAAAAGTCAAATCAAATGGTGTAATATGCAAGAACGGTGAATCAATATAAGCTTTTATACGCTACAAAAGTCAAATCAAATGGTGTAATATGCAAGAACGGTGAATCAATATAAGCTTTTATACGCTACAAAAGTCAAATCAAATGGTATAATATGCAAGAACGGTGAATCAATATAAGCTTTTATACCCTACAAAAGTCAAATGGTGTAATATGCAAGAACTTTATTCCGCTGAACAGTGAATGGATTGTTTAATCATCACAACAAAAGTCACATATATTGTTGTTGACGTTTATATTCACTGCATGTCTAATAAAAGGATTGTTCAAAGCATTTTTAACTCCATGTGCTACTTACAGTGTAATCAATCATTGCGTGTTACTTCTAATGCCTTTTTATTATGTCATTAGTTCCAAGATTATATTTTATAGTACCATATCTGCCTTTTGAGGTCTTAAACTGCAGTATGTCTTTCATACAAGCATTTTGGAAATTTTCTTTTTTTAATGACTCAAACAATATTTGCAACAGATATATAGCTGTATATACTATAAGCAATATGGTGAATTTGGATATCAGGGGATTTATTTGGTTTTATTGGTTAAGAAAAACTGTCAAAACAGAGATATAGCTAGATGATTTTAATATTAAGATCCAGCTTTGAAGTATCAGCAGAAGCATACTTTTTGTTTCAAATAATATACAGTGCTGCAGACTAAATTTCAAAATGGTTTGACACACATATATAGGGACGTTTTAATAATGTTGTTTTTATTACTATTGAATACAGTATCACAGAAATTGAAACAGTGCAAAAAAAATGAAATTCAAACGAATGAATATAATAATTGTCACTAGCGACAAACTGCTTAATGGACATGAATTTTATGTAAAATATAAATTACAATATACTGTTTATTATAATTTTTCTACCTACGAAAATACTATTTAAAAAGTGAAATAGATAAAAATATTAAGGAAAAGAAAAGAAGGTAAGAAAACTTGATTAAATCTAAACTAAGTCAAACAATAAAATTTACTACAGTAAGCATTAATTAACATTACGTGTACACGTGAACCTTTGTTTCATTTCCTATTCGAAATTGACTTGAGAACTTTTTGTACATACGCACTAAAGTTGGGAATATCTTATCGTTTTTGACTCGAGAAAGTTCTGGAAAGTTTTTCCGGAAGTGACGTGTGGCGTCTTCTAAGTTGTAATGGGGAATTCTGGAGAACAAATGATGTATCTGATGGGTTCCAATGTTGTGTATGACGTCATGAGCCCAACCGTAATTTCGGTCCACCGAACTCAACGCACCTTTCACGTAATTCCAATTGTCGTCTGCAAATCAAAGAATAATTACGTCAAAGTATCGAATGATGAAAATAAAAAGAAACATTTGGACAAAAATAACTGAAGACATAATGCGGTCTTACAAAAGGCAATCTATATATATCTTGTCTTTTATAAAGTATGAAAAGGTTATTTCCTGTCTAGTTCAATTAAATGTTTGTTTAATCTTTTTTTTCACGCTTATATTTACAAAATAACATTGATCAATATTTTACTGCATTGTATCAACGTCTGTTTTGTTTCCTTCTCGTCGGAAGTATATTGAACTTGCACTTTAGAAAAACAATACCTATGATGTAAAACTATATTAAAACTACGAGAAAGTTTTATTCCAAAAATAGATTTAAATAGCAGACGACAAATTACCTGAATACCACGGAGTTTTTTCTTCGATGTGGTGAAGGAATGTTACTATGAGCAACCAACTTGCAAATACCATTTCCGGTATGAAGTAGTATTTGAGCAATTCCCACAATCCAAATGAGCAAGCGTAGATGTAAAGACAACCGACCCAACAAATCAAAGACGCTATAGATAACGTACATCCGGTTACATGGTTACTAAACATGGGTTCCAATGGGTTTAAATGGCAAACGTTTCTTGGGTGATAACCTCTCCATAGGTAAACAAACCAGCCAAAGCCAAGTCCAAAAAGGTAAGCGAAGTTATTTCCGTTTTCATGCTCTTTCCTTACTGGATAGAACACTTCGTCTTTGTCAATATTCCCTGTGTGTTTATGGTGGTTTCTATGTGATATTTTCCATGGATAATATGGCGTCAGGACGACTGAATGTAGCACTGTTCCAAATACGTCATTTATCGTTTCATACTTTGAGAAAGAACCATGACCACAATCATGACCAAGTACAAACACGGCCATCAACATTGTACCCTGTAAATACCAGTAAATCGGCAATACAATACACATGCAACTTGCCGGTAGAATCCACTCTAACACCATAAGTGACGCGCATAATCCAATGATAAGTGCTATATCCTTGACGACATAATATAATGAAAAAAGTAAATTTGTTTCGAACAAATATGTCGGAATGGCAGCTTTGATTTGTATCAGAGTTGGGAGAGATTTTATGTCCTGTGGTACACCGTTTGACTTCATAGTGATTATCTGGTCTCACATTTACACTATTTTTTAATTATTCCGAAATCATCTGCAGAATAAATGTTGCTTAATTCCAATTCAGTGTTTAAATTATTATTCTTCAATTCATTTAAATAAGCTCTTAATCCGTCTTTCACTATGGCGCAAACATGTCTTCAGCTTTCACTATAAATACTGAATTCTTGTATTTTTTTATCTTTCTGAAAGACAAATAACGATTCTTCTCCTTGTCTGGGTCTAACTAAGTTGCTTCACGGCAAACAGATAGAAGTCAATACTAGTTCGTAACACTCGCGAAAGATATTATTCCCAAAGCGTTCCAAATATAGAAGAGATGTGGCAATATTTGGCAAAAATCAATTGGATTCTCAGCGGTTTTCAATTCTGCGGAAAATTCCCCAATATCTTCATAGTTGTTCAACACTTGTAAAAATGTGTTTTCATTGAATTTGCCGTGTTAGAATTCGATTTTTTGTCAATATAATAATTTGAATTCTAGGAATATTTCTCCATTGTGTTATGTAAGTTTGAATATAGAAATCAACTCCAGTTTCGATTTAAAAATGTAATTATTTTATTTGAAAAATATACAACGTTTCGACTCAAAAGTCTTCATCAGGTATACTTTGTTTACAGGAAATGACGTCAACGTCATATGACGTCAAGGACAACGACGTCAAAATGTAATTCATAATTTGGCGTATAAATATTATATGTAGGATCTTTATAAAAGATACGAAACACTGGTGAAGATGCAGTAAAAAGCAATGTAAAATAAGAAAACCAGCATAAACTACATATTGACATGAAATTAGTTTTAAGTCATACATGTATTAAGCAAAAAATAGAAAATACAATTTTTATAAAAAAAAATATTAAAATGAAGAATTATAATCTACAAAATTAATAAAGTATTTTGGAATTCATGCCATCAGGAATAATTGTACCTAGCTTATACATTGTGTTATGAAATTTTGAAATTGTTCGAAAAGTTTGAATTCTATAGAATCTAAACCTTTTGAGTAAAAAATACAAAAATATTTAACGTTACATTGGATGTATAGCTATTCTTACTTCTTGTTGAATAATCCTATTTACTCTGTTTAGAATATATTCTTCTACATTAGGGTTTTTTTTTTCATTGTATAAGTAATATTATCACAGATTTTAATTACAACCGTAGATACAAATCTCTATAATTTCTAAACTGCCCTCTAACTTATTTAAAAACATAAAAGGATAAAAACATATACCATGTAGAAAATTACACTTTGGACACAAACAGAAAAGTACTTTTAAGCGTGGTACTTGACCAATATTTATATTTTGATTAAGTCAAAGTATGCACCTCTTTTGGCATTTGTGTTATTGACACGCATATTATTTATATATTTAAAATATAAGTGAATGTTCGCAGCCATAAAGCAGTCTGGGTTTTAAGTGCAGTATATCCTTTATAACAAATTTATTCATAAGCTGGTGTATTTTATCAATATAAATCCTATCAATATGAATAAGTTTCTGAAATCCCCGAGGACAGCAGGGTTGTTTCTTATGGAGATTGAATAATAAATATTCAATTATTCATAAATAAATAATATGAATTATAAATAATTAAAAGAAATAGAGGAATAAATAGAATATTATATTCGTGTATGTTCATTATTGCATGTATTGAACTCGTAGAATAAAATAATATTATGCTCGCCAGAGCCTCGCATACTATAATGTTATTCAACACGTTAAATAAATTCAGTATTGAACTAACACTCATTAAATATCCTCTTTATATCCATATTCAATGTAAGACAACGATTTTTTCTACTTTCGAGTTCATGTTACATATAATAATGATTCTTATGTCGATTTAATTGAAGGGTCTTTTTTCAAAAATGACAAAAAAACCTAAGTTTTGGTTAGTTTTCTTCTTGGTTTCAGACTAAAGTGGTCTATTCATTTAGTCTGAGTCAATACTGTTAACATAATGTATTTTTCATCAGTATTTCAAAGAACATTGATTATTATATACCAGTGTGCCCCTTGTGGCTTAGAGGTTGCCTTTACGGGTTGATGCATGAGAATTGCAGCCACCGTATATAAGTTTTGAAACAAAGTGATCCCTCGGAAGCATAAATCACAACAAAATTACATGAAAATTGCAGACTCGGTTTGATTGAGTCTGTACATGAGGGATAATGAAGATGTAAAACATCCTGCAGCCCTTCGTGATAGTAGGAGGGGACTAAATAGGTTTGAATTATTGAAGTCTATGCATCTCTAAGCTCAAGCAGGTGAGGTGGCTTTGACCCTGAAGTTGCTTTAAGTTTTGTAAGACCTGAGGTTAGCCAAAATAATATTTCCTGTTTCGTCGCCATATGACCTATACTGTGTTGATGTGCCGTTAAACCAAACAGTATATTGTATACACGCCAATGAAGATCAGTTCTTTTATTGCGCTATACATTTAATTTCTTATTTAGCATTTATGCATGAATAATAGATATAAACATGCATGTGTAAGCAGATGTTCAGGCTAATTATTTGTGTGTTAAACGACAAACGAATCAATAAATTGGGACTTCTAATTAACCTTCGAAGCTGGCCGTTCGTATATGCTCCTAATGCATTAAGGATGTCATATGCATTTAATTTTATTCATCATTTCTTAAAACATTTAAGTAAATTTGACAAATATCGTTGGATATTCACGGTTGATTAATGGCAAGTAATGTTTCGGCCAAGGGTATCCGAAAATGTATGAAAAATAGCGCTTTCTAAATTAGTAATGTCAAATTAGTGATATATATTCTCTTACGTTTCCCAAAAAAAAGTCCCGCGAGCAATTAAAAAACATAATAGAATAGTGAAGAGCCGTTAATGTGTACAATATCTTACGCCCCTAGCACCGTCTTAGGTGGTTTTCAATCCTTGACTGTAAAATAATAGAATAAATTATATTGAAGGATCAGCAAAATATAACATAACTGCCACAAAGTACGAGGCATCTAATACAACTGCAACACGTACAAATAATGATTCAAAATGAGTGATTCAATAAGATTATAACTTTCAACGCAATAGAACTAAAATAAATGTGTATACACAAATAATGATTCACCAATATAGGTTGTCGGCCACTAATTAATTCACATAATTATTACCTCTTATTAGTCTATGATGTGTGCGACATTTAATGTCGAGTCGCCGTAAAGTCTTACTCATTATAATTTTCTTTTTATTGTTATAGCATTACTTAATGAGGAATGTTTGAATTATTGACCGTATAACTTACGTCGCTGGTACATTATAAGTCGATTGTGTCTGTACTATATGTGGATCTTTTAAGACAGCAACAAAAACATTAGCTGATAAAGCTCTTAAAGCTATGGGCTCATTATTTAGTATTACAAAATGCATTGAAGTTCCTGTAAATATTATGTTAAATTTATTCGATTCATATGTTGCATCTATATTGAATTATTCTTGTGAGGTATGGGGGTTTGAAAAAGCGGAAAATATTGAACGAATACATAGAAAATTCATGAAATGGATACTCAATGTTAAAATGTCTACTGCTAATTCTGCATTATATGGTGAATTGGGTAGATATCCATTATATGTAGTTAGACAAGTTAGAATTGTTAAATATTTCCTAAAGTTGTATGTTGAAAAGGATTATAACTGTATTTTATCAAGCACAATGAACACTTTAAGATATGAAGCTGAAAATTGTAACTTTGTGAACTGGGCATCTAAAGTCCGAGATTTACTACAAAACACTGGTTTTCACGAAGTATGGATGTATCCGTCTTCGGTAAATATTAATATGTTTGTTCCTATTTTTCGTACTAGAATTATTGACATGTATATAAATAATTGGAGACAAGATATTTGTTCAAAGTCATCTTTGTTTTTATTTAAAGAATTAAAGCCAGATTTTGAAAGGTCCGAATATATAAATAAAATGAAATGTCGTAGTTTAAGAAATATTTTAGCTAAAATACGTTTATCTTCACATGACCTACATATTGAAACTGGTAGACATAGAAATATAGATAGAAACGATAGAAAATGTACACTGTGCCAATGTAATGATATTGAAGACGAATACCATTTTATTTTAATATGTCCAATGTATGCTTTACTTAGAAATCAGTATATTCCTAGGTATTATCATAGACACCCGAGTATGCTCAAACTCACACAATTGTTGAATTCTACAAATGTAAAGGTCTTAAACAAATTGGCTCTGTTTTGCAGAAATGCTTTTAAATTAAGAACAAATGAATTAAATTCTTTGTTATGATCTGATGAAATATGTACAGTTGTTTGCATGTTTATAATATGTTATTTACATTATTACTATGTGCATGTAAAATTTGTTGTATGTAACGATGAACTGTAAATGTTCAAGTTAGATTCAAATAAAATTTCTGTTCTGTTCTGTTCTGTTCTATATTTTTAATCATTATTTTAATTACATTGTACATGATACAATTTGCTATTGATAAAAAAGACAACAAAATGACGCGTTAATGATCAAGAAAGAATTAAGTACGAATAATGCAAACTCTTAATATTGTACATAATTATTTAAAATGTCATTTTCACATATCTTTTATATGGTTAAAAATTGAACTAATTGGAAATACAGAACCAAATTATTGTTGTTGTTGCTTTTTTATTGTTGTTGATTTTTTAAAATATTAACCTATTTTTTTGTATTGTACAAAATGAAACAATTTTTTATTTCAGAACGATAATGCCAAATTAATATATTGTTTTTTGGCGATGCTAGGGGGTGGGTGATAAGGAAACAACTCTTTACATAACTATGAAAGTTCTAAAAATAGAAAACAAAAAAGTGTAATTACTACATAACCCTAGCTTATTAACAAAACTATATATGTCATTTTGATATATTTATTACAGACAACTTTATATAATATTGTTTTGAAGCGGAAATTACTTCATGATACTGTACCAATAAAATAACCGCTTAGTTAACCGCAATTGTGACGAAATCCGACATAGGTATACTGTCTTTATTGATACGTGGTAAATATCATTTACAATTTAACAATGATTTGACAGTTACAAAGAAAAAAACATGACCAGTTTTTATTATGACAAACCCTCATGAATTTGAAGAGACATTTGAAGACTGAAACGCTCACCTGATATAGCTAGAGGTTTATCTTAAAGGCCCATTATGCCTTTAGACAAGCTTTTGTTTTTATTTCACAAAAGTAATTCATTTTTGGTGTAGTTTTATAGATGCCAAAATGTGACAAGTTGGCAAATTATATGAATCACATTTTCTTAGCCATTAGTATAATTGTAGTGATTTAGTATTTTATATGAAAGTCAAAATACTACCCTGTTTACTTTTTGCTATTTCACAATAAGCGCTCTTTTTAAAGGGAAACAGCATCTAACATATTGTACTCTTAAAGATAATTAAAATGTTTAAAAAAAAAAATTTGTTTCTGGGGAATAATGAGCCTTTAACATTCAATTGTTTGTGTATTTGTTTTATCATTATTATTATTGTTATAATCATCATAATTATTATTATTATTATTATTTTTATTATTATTATTATTATTATTATTATTATTATTATTATTATTATTATTATTATTATTATTATTATAATTATTTTTATTATTAGCTCGACTTTTCTATGAAAAGGGGAGCTATCCTACTCGCCCCGGCGTCGGCGTCGGCGTTGGCGTCACACCTTGGTTAAGTTTTTCGTACCACCCCACTTTATTTCAGAAGTATTACAAGTATGGCTTTGAAACTTACCATACTTGTTCACCATCATAACCTCCATCTACAGACAAGAGTACATAACTCTGTCAAGGTTTTTGACAGAATTATGGCCCTTTTTTGACTTAGAAAGTGTATTGAGCTTGGTTAAGTTTTTTGTACCACCTCACTTTATTTCAAAACCATTGGAGGTATTGCTTTGAAACTGACCATACTTGTTTACCATCACGACCTTCATCAACAGACAAGAGGACATAACTCTGTCAAGGTTTTTGACAGAATTATGCCCCTTTTTGACTTAGAAAATACATTGAATATGGGTAAAAATCCACTTATTGCCTTAACCCTTTGAGATATTGCTTTGAAACTTTTAATGCTATTTCACATCATTACCCCCATCTGTACGCAAGAGAAGGTAACTCTGTCAAGGATTTGTTTTAAAAATTAAGGCCTTTTATCGACTTAGAATCTTGGTTAAGTTTTTAGTACCAGTCCACTTTTTGACTGAACTGTTTGAGATATTAATTTGAAAGTTGGAATACTTGTTTACAATCATGATTCCCAAACATGTCCAGGAGAAGGTAATTCTGTCAAAGATTTTATTTGAATTATGGCCCTTAACTGTCAATGTTTTGTATTACTGCAAAAACTTTTTTTATTGGCAAGCAATAAAAAAGTCGAGCGCGCTGTCTTACGGACAGCTCTTGTTATTATTATTATTGTTTGTTTTATCATTGTTCTTATTGTTAAAATTATTATTACTATTATTATTATTTTATCATTATTATTATTATTATTATTATATTATTATTATTATTGTTCTATTATTATTATTATTATTATTTTATTATTATCATTATTTTATTATTATTTTTTTTTATTATTATTTTTATTATCATTTTTCTAATTATTATAATTATTATTATTATTATTATCATTATTATTATTATTGTTGTTGTTGTTTTGTTGTTGTTGTTGTTTTGTGGGTGTGTTTTTATTCATCATTGATATTATTATTATTGTTGATGATGTCTAATATTCTCCAAAACCATTATTTAAACATTTTAAAATACATATCATTATTTTTATTGTTATAATTATTATCATCATTATTATTATTACTATAATTATTGTTGTTGTTGTTTTGTGGGTGTGTTTTTATTTATCACTGCTACTATTATTGTTGATGTTGTCTAGCATTCTTAAAAACCATTTTTTTAAACATTATAAAATACATGTTTTCCCTTTTTAAAAAAATACAATGTAAAATATATTTGTTTCTGAGACATAAAATGCCTGTAAATTCTGCACTACATTTAGCTTAGGACAACGACCACTTCAACAACATTTTCCTTTTGAATAGTCGAGCTAAATAAGGCGTTGTTTTTGCTCATGTCAGAGTTGACATTTTAATACAAAAACTTTCATGATTGATCGTTTAGTTTTAATATAAGAAGCAAAAAATTGTTAGTTCATTCTTCAGAATTACTTTGTGTTTCTTTCCTTGGACTAAATATTTACGTCGTCACAGGTATTATTTTTTGTTTCTATAAAGTGTCAAAACGTTTACTATTGGATATACCTGTTTCATTGCTTATTATGCAAATGTGAAACTAAATGATATATTTTACATATTTTTCTCCAATGCTATATTTTTGCAGAAAGAAAATTAGTATTTTATTGAATTTAAGTACCTACTATTGTTCTATTTATGCAATGAGAATTAAATTATTGCTTTTCAGTTTAGAAAATGATTGCCATTTCAAAATGGTATGATTAAGTTGTTAAAATATATATAGGGAATATTGAATGATTGTAAGTTCAATACTGAATTTATTGAACGAGTTGAATAAAATTATATTAGACCTTATGCGAGCCTCTGGCGAGCGTGGTATTATTTCATTCAACGAGTTAAATAAATTCAGTAATGAATTTTTGTACGAATTAAATATTCTATTCATCACATACCAAAAATAAAGACCGTTTAAAGAGAAAATGGTATTTTTCATTGACGCGCCTATGGTTGACCGCGTCTTTCACTATAAGAATCTTACATCGGCTGCCGGTACAGACCGGAATATCTAGCTCGAGGGTAACTATTTATGGCGGTAACGAGGCTCTGCCGAGCCAGTGTTAAATTCTTTTACTGGCATATTAAATGTCATTTATTTTCGGAACAGAAATTACGAAAACTGATATTTTCATTACGCACTTTTTCCTTATAGTAGCGTATGAACGTTCAAACTTCATTCATAACAGTAAAATGACGTCATCCTTAGAACGCTATTCATTCATAAAGGCGCGCGGCAATGACGTCATTTAAAGCACGGGACTTGTCTTACATGGGGGGTTTATGGCACCGCTGAAACGGTAGATAATCCTGTCTGATATGCAAAAATATTAAATTTAAAAAACATATGAGTGTAATGAATTATAAAACTATAATAGTCTGCCATATCGACATTTTCAAAAGGACACATTGCAAATATTACGGTGTTCGATAAAAACTGAAATTCTGGAATGAAATACAATGTACTTTAAATATGCTACATTTATTTGTTGCCATCGCCCAAATAATAGGTTTTAAGTCGTAAAACCTTCACTCTTCTGGGAAATTCAGAAAGTAGTTCTAATCCCCGCTAAATTGTGCATTAAAGACAGTTTTTATTTTAGTTTAGTTTAGTTAAAACATATTTTTCCATCAAAAAAATGTCAAATATTATACAAAAGATGATTATATAACAAAAAAAAATTAGTTGGGCAACAAGTTCGTACAACATGAGATTAAGCCCTTAGACACAGTCTATCTACTTTGGCCGTACTTGCATCAAGTCCGGAGCTAGGCAATCTCCTCACAGTGATTTCCTCCCTTGGCAGAATTGTAATCACTGCCTTCAAAGACGTCACATGATGATGAAAGTCACATGACGTAACGTCGAAATTCAAATGTAAAATATCGACCGTTACAAAAGAAAATCTAACGTTATTTTTCTCTTTCTGTTTTATTTTTAACTTTTAGTGTCTACGTTCGATATAGTTTATCAAAAAATTATCGAAAGTATACAAAATAACAAAAAATAAATTCAAAAGCTAAAAAATATAAAATATCAAAATATCGTCTCGGTAGAAAATAATCTCATAATTTTTAAAATTATTTCTAAATATTCATATTATATATTCATAAACATTCTTAAATAAATGAGAGAAAACTTACGGTATCTGATAGATAAAAGCAGTAGATAAAACAATTTTTGAAAAAATATAGTAGAGTCTATATCAGAAATTCTGATATATTGGGACCTTGGTGGCAGAGATCTACGCCGAAGAATTAAGGGGAGATCACTGCGTGGAGATTGGGAGCTTGGATGAGGCCCTTCAGTGCGGCGCATATCATAACATTTTTATAATCATATTAAACCTTTCCTTATATTTTCAGAGGAGCTATGTTTTCCCGAATTCTTGTCGCTCTTGTTATCGCAGTGATCCTGGGTGTGGTCAGCGGTCAGTATGGTTATTACTATGGTGATGGTTCGGACAGGCCTGATTATGACAGACCTGACTATAACGGACCCGACAACTACTATCATATGAGACCGCCTATGCCATTTATGAGAGGCCCATTCTTCCATCACATGAGACGTCCAATGTACTGGTAAATAGTGGTAAGTATAAGAGGTGTTTCCTATTGTATTAATTTGATTTTATAAGTTTTTAAGTAAGTTTTCATGCAGAACAGAAACTATTTTGTTTTGAGAATAAGCTACGAAATCAACAGTTAATAGTTAAAACAAATGACTAGAATAATCATGACAAAATGTGATATTAGTAATTGCTTAAGCAGCGTCACACCGTCCCGAATTTAATTACGTGTTGCAATTAAAGAATGGTTAATTTCAATGACCGACGTTTGCGGTAATGCTAGTGTTAATGCATGAATTAACTTATCTTCAAATTCTGTTGACAAAATTCTTTAAGACCATGGATTCCATTTTATTATCTGTATGCGGGCAGTTCATACATTGTACATTTTTTTAATGAAATCGATAATTAAATTGTCGGAAATTTATTCGAATATTAACGCTACATGTTAGCGTTACTCTATAGGTCTTTCAGTGAAAGAATGGTTTTTTTTTCATCCTAAACGGTCTTTTTTGGGGGGTGGGGGTATGTGATAAATAGAATATTATATTCGTGTAGGTTCATTTACTAAATTTATTGAACTCGTCGAATGAAATAATATTTTGCTCGCCAGAAGCTCGCATAATATAATTTCATTCAACTCGTTCAATGAATTCAGGATTGAACTTACGCTCATTCCATATCACATATGTTGATAACAAAGTAAATATTACTAAATAGCAACAATGATATAATAATCATTTTATATTTGTAGGTAAGAGAGATGCCACACATTGCCTGTTGTTTACACAAAAACATGAGAGTGAAATATACTGATGACAATTGTAAATTGTTGCTCTGTAAATGTTATTTCCAAGTCATTTAATGCACTGATATATAATTCATGTTTATATACATGTATATTAAAATATGTTATATTGTTTTATTTTTGTTTATGCTTGCATTCCTTTGTTTCAATTCGCACTAAGTGATCTTAAAGTACATTGGTCTACAATGGTCATATTTATTCATAAGTATTTCAAATGTACTCTACCGATAGAGACAATAGCCAAAAGACAATAGAAATATATCATTTGGATATTCTTATGAAATATTTCTGGAAAACAGAATGTTGATAGAGTTCTAAAGAGATTTAGTATGAACATATTTATTATGGTTATTAATATTTTGTTCTAGACCAATTTATCTTCTTACTATATTAATAAAATCTGTCATATGTTGCGGTTCGGATCGGATCGGAATATTCGTTCCGACAGGACACGCCCATTGGGCGGTAACGAGGCTTGCAACAGCGTATGAAATTACAACTTCATTCATAACAGTAAAATAACGTCATCCTAAGAGTGACATTGTATGGCATGGACTCATGTGGCACCCCTCATGCCCGATGGAATTTCCGGCATGGGTAAAACTAACGGAAACGCCAGTCTGATATGCAGTAGATCTATGTGTCATATCGGATCATGTATCCTAGACATACCAACAACACATATGATACTGAATACAATCATCATAATCATTTATGGTATTAAAGATCTATCATTACATACCAATTCACTTTAAAACATGATATTTTATTTTGCCTGATTATAAAGACGATCAACTGTCAATCTGAATTAAGATAGATTTTATGTTTTCATTTACATCTGAAGGTGACCGATAGGAGGTCATCCTCTTGTGACCTTTCGATCAGCCAATCAGTGACCGCTTTCTCGTTCATGAACTACGTAGGAGATAAAAAGGCCTAATTAGGACTTTATTAGTCCTACGTAGGACTTTATAACTCCTACGTAGGACTTTAAAACTCCTAATTAGGTTTGTTTATCTCCTACGTAGGATATACAAAGTCCTACGTAGGAGTTATAAACTCTTAATTAGGCTTTTTTATCTCCTACGTAGGAGTTATAAAGTCCAAAGTAGGAGTTACAAAGTCCTACGTAGGAGTTATCTTTTTTTATAGAACATGTTAAATTGGTACCAGGACGCTTCCGTACAATACTGATGATTTGTTTGACTGCACAGATGACATAAAATAATTTTCTGTACGGTTTGCTAAAAATAGCCTTATCGGAAAATCCGAATCGGCAAGAAGGCGGTGATCAGATCTACAAGAAGATCTGAACTTTAGACAGATTGATCGATTGTAATAGAATCTATGTATGCACACTCTAAGTTTGAAATATCTATATTATGTATTCCCGTCAGGGATTTTGTATTTGTTTTATATGAGGTTATCTGTATGAATCATCCAGGCATTTTGGAAGGTTAGTCAATAGTCGTGAAAGATTGAATATATATGCATACACTCTTACATTGATTGTTCGCAAAGTTTATTTGATTTGTTTGGAGTAGAGATGCTATCTCTAAAAAAGCTGTCCAGTCAAGAACAGTGTTTGCATAATACTGAAATATTAATATTGATTCCTGCATTGGTTTGATTCAGCCTATTTATGGACGGTGCTAGCCGTCCACGCCCCTTAGCACCGGGCTAAGCAGAATTCAACATTTAAACACGAGAATGGTGAAAATTATAATTAAGAAGCATCCGTAGATATGTTATCATGGAACCTTTTATGTGACACTTTCGTGCCATTCCAAGAAACGCGGCGTATGGCCCCCAAGTAAGAAGTGTGTGCCCTTAAAGACGAAACAATGGGCGGAACTAAACAAAATGAAATTATACATACTCATTTGCAACAGAAAGTGTGCACTTGAATACAGGGAAATCTTGTATACTTATTTAAGCAAAATATTGGCACATTTGGTATCCAAATAAGCTGAAATGAATTGGCTACACGATGGTTTACAATTTAGCACTTTGATAACGTGTAAACAACTGAGGGGTAAAAAAACTAAAAAAATGCAGAGATGTGCTTTTTGTAAATGCGTTTTTGTTTTTGGATATTTGAATGGAACAAATGAACATACGAACGAGAACAACCAAACAAAAACCAACACATCTAAACAAACTAATAAAGACAAAGAAAAAGTAAGCTTATCAACGAAGCAAAATAACAGCAAAAACACAACAATAACTACAAAAGCAACAACAACAACAACAAGTAATTAATTTCAAATTGAAACCGGTTCAGAGAAACGTTGTTTTATTTAACAAATAAATATGAACCTCTTAATTTGCAAAGCTACATCTATCACTAGATATTTGATTACCTTTTGTTTCATTAACATTATTTTGAATGACAATTTCTTTTTCTTTTTCCACTATCTCGCATTTTTTCGGTTTTTTATTTCTTTAATTTTTTTCTTTTATTGCTGTGTTTTCCCGATAACGATCGCTGTAATTTATCATTTTACAAGATAATTGATTAACGTTAGCTTAACTATGAAAAGGTTATCAATGTAAGTTGTCAAGTTGATTCGTCAAGGGTTATTTCTTCACGAAATATATTTCATGTAAAATCGTTATTTTAATGTAAGATTGTGATACTCTGTCACTCCGTATTTCCTCAATATGTGTTTTAAATTCATTTTTTTTATTTAAAATTACGTCCAATTGTAAATTATTTATAAATTGTCAAAGGATATGCATGACTCTCACATGCATGCATAATGATGGGGCAAATTGTTGTTAAGATCAAATTTAAAACAAATGCTGAAGGCTCTTGGTTATTTTTGGTACAGTGCAACAATATCCGATTGTAAAATAACTAACATTATTAGGCCGTGTCTACACCTATTCAAGTTTCTTACATTTCACATTTAGATAAGCTAAATAAATGGCCCTTTCAATATTTTATCAGGCACAATTTTTACTGGAATGTCTAATTAAGATTGCCCAGGATTTATACCTTTGTCTTTGCAATACTATCATGTTTCTGTAAAATATGTGAATAAAAAAGCGGGAAAATGATGCAATTAGCTAAAAACAATGGAGTAAATGAAATTGAAATGTGTACATTCTTTTAAAATAATGGAAAATGTGAGAAAAATATTTTTTGAGCTGATAAATTGATGCAAATTCTTTATTTGATGAAAGTTACTCACTAAATGAACAAGATCATTTAAAATCTATTTTGACTACTTGAAAAACTTTTTTTTTTTGCTCTTCTGTGTATCAATTTATTGATATGATCCTCTGACCAAGATATTTTATACATTTATTAAAATTTACAGACCATGAACACTGAATCAGTAACAAAAAAGTCAGAAAATAATTTAAAAAAACAACACTGTCACACCTTCTGGGCACATGTTTTGTGTCAAACCGGTGTTATCAGTGTCTTGACAGCCAAAAACTTGTAGAAAAATAGAACGTGTTCTAACTTTCTTGCAAGGAATTATCTTCTTGAATGTCACATAATTTCTCTTTAAAACTCATTCAAGTAGGGTGTCTACCCTATCCAATACAAGAGAATATGATACTTGCATTCAAGACTTGGATAGTTGTAGACGCGGCGTTAGGGGCCGTCTACACCTATCCAAGTCTTGAATGCAAGTATCATATTCTCTTGTATTGGATAGTGTAGACACCCTACTTGAATGAGTTTTAAAGAGAAATTATGTGACATCCAAGAAGATAATTCCTTGCAAGAAAGTTAGAACACGTTCTATTTTTCTACAAGTTTTTGGCTGTCAAGACACTGATAACAACGGTTTGACACAAAACATGTGCCCGAAGGTTTGATAGTGCTGTTATTTTTATTATTTTCTGACTTTTTGGTACATGCCCTTTGAATTTCAGTAAATGATTACAATGTCTTTGTCAAAGGAACAAATCAATACGCTGATACACAGAAGAGCAAAAAAAAAATAAATGAATAAAAATAATTACATTGTAAAAAAATAAAAAAGAGCTCTTTTTCAAGTAGAGTCAAAATGGATTTAAAATGATCTTGTTCATTTAGTGAATAACTTTCATCAAATAAAGAATTTGCATCAAAATAAATTTTGTCACATTTTTTCAATTTTAAAAAAGAATGAACGCATTTCATTTACTCCATTCTGTTTTAGCTAATTGCATCATTTTCCCGCTTTTTTCACATATTTTACAGAAACATGATAGTCTTGCAAAGACAAAGGTATAAATCCTGGGCTATCTTAATGAGACATTTCAGTAAAAATTGTGCCTGAAAAAATGTTGAAAGGGCCATTTATTTAGCTTATCTAAATGTGACATGTAAGAAACTTGAATAGGTGTAGACACGGCCTAACGCCTTGTGAGTATTAACGCCTTGCAGTAACCTAAATTTCTGTACTCGTAATTTCAGGCTATACTGTTTTGACATTCATTCATTTCGATCTGCCTCTGCCTTTGACATTGACTTATACCAGGAGTACAAATAAACGTCAAATATTCATTAAGATGGACACAAATGCTCTCCATGCCACCACGATCATTATTTGACGCAGACGATGTGACGTCATGCGCGTCTCGAAGGAGCAATAAGAGTTAATTAATTTCTAGCCAGTAACTTTACGTTAAGTCACTTCACTCTATCATAACAAAGTGTAAAAACCTGTCAGAAAGAAAATTTGACATATTTTTAGAACGTTATCTCTAGCAATACAATGTTTGACTAAATATTTCTCCATTTAATACTTTACACCATAATTTATCTTTTTTCCCCCATCAGGTCGATCAAATATTTTAAATTCCTTAAATGTTGGTGCAGGGGTCAATAATTTAATATGCTTAACCTACCTTTGTGTTGAATACTTGATCTGCTGAATTTGTAGATTTTGTATCACCCTGCATTTAAATTTGGAACAGTCCATTTGAAAACTGAGGGAGATTTCGATTTCAAAATTCGATTAATTGAATCGTACAGAACCTGGCCTAATGATTATAAAACTTTTTTTCCGAGTTCTGCCCAAAATCTCAGGATTTTCATTGGTCAGTGTACATTGTATAGCAGTTTTGACCAATAATATGCCTGTGTTCTGAGTTTGAGCGTAGAGGATTTCTTTGTAACCTTGAACCAAGGTTAATTTCCGTGAGTGTGAAGGTTGGTCTGGCTTCATACAGACATCAAAGGTTGGTCACTCTCTGTTCCAGCATGGCTTCTTACAGATAACAACTTGAGACTGACCACTTTCGATTCAACTAGCAGGTTAAGGGATAAATGAGTGATAATTCGTTAAATCATAATAATTTACTTAAAGGCACATCATGCCTCAGAAATCTTTTATTAAATTCTTTAGAAATGTTACACCATGTTAAATAATGTTTTAATAATGGATTTAGAACATGTAAAATAATTAACAGCTGAAGAAAGTAGGGCTGAAAGTAGGGCTGAATGTGCAGTAATGTTTCGTAAAGGTAGCAAAATGTAAACAAATAGTATTTTGACTTCCATACAAAATACTAATTCATTATCAATTGCCAGCAAAGCAAAATATGCAAAGATAGTTCATTTATATGGAAAATAAGTATTTTTTTGTGGAACTTGTATCAAGACACCAAATATTAAAAATGTTGAGAAATAAAAATTATAGCATTTCTGACACATAATGTGCCTTTAAGCTCGAAACAAATTCTTGCAGCTTATACTGAAATTAATTACTTTCCAGTCCGCTGTCTGGAACCTACCAGTACTGGTGTCATATGAAGAAACATGGTCGTGACGCAATAATTAGGGCTTGAACGCATGATCCCTGGGTTGAGAGCCAGATATCTTAACCACTAGGCCGCCGCTGAGTGATAATTAATATTATAATAAATATTCTTTTTCACTAGGGATCTGACAACATATGCATCTAGATAACTTATCCACACGCATGTTATCTTTAAAAGCAGATTCATGTTTCAATTGTAATATTCATGATATCGAAGATATTGTCCACTGTATGTGTATTTGCACTTACTATAGACGTCTTAGAGTAAAATAAATCATGCAAAATTATTATGTTGTATCATAGTTTGGGGACCTTTCTGTTGAAAAAGTGTCAGAGTTAAATCGTATACATATACATGCACAGTGCGGTAACTGGAGTCCAGGTATCAGTTACCCGCACTCCAGATCATGCCCGTTGATTGGCTCATTTTTGCTGGGGTTTACATATTGTGACAGCAGAGAAAGGGAAAGCGGCAGAAATATCATATTTAGATGCTCGATCATTGGTTACTTTTTCCCGGGGTTTAAAATTGTGACAACAGGGAACGTGTTTTTATGTTTGACTATGATACAAAAGAGAAAGAACACCAAAACACTCGGCAATCTGATTTATACTCGGGGGCTACGTACAATTCTATGAATTTTTAAAGGCCCATTATGCCTCAGAAATGTTTTTTTGTTTTTGTTTTTTATTCTGACATTTTTTTTTAGTTTTGGTTTCTATTATAGTTTCCGGGAAGTTACTCATTGGCCAATTACCTGAAAAGTTACTCATTGACCAATTACCCAATCTCAATAAAATCAGATCATCGTTTTTCGGCTACGAAGCGAAAAGTTGAACTGTTTTTGTATTAAATTTTCATGAAAGTAAGCTAAACAAGGGAAGAAACTTTGTTTACAACAGAAAGAGCTGCGTGATAAGTTTTATTCCCCCTATATGTGTAACTGAACCAACATATAAAATCGGTTAAATGTTGTAAGATTTCCACTTCTACATGACAGTGCATCACGTGACTTGGTTTGTAATGGAAGGTTCGTAATACAATGAATAATTAAGTTGAAAGTATTTTATTTAGTATCAGACATAATACCAAACCGAAAGATCTATACATAAAGGTTGTTTGCAAGTGTGTGATACATGATCCGATATATAATAATATATTATTCATATAGTAGTTAATAAATTGTTCAAGAAAAAATACGTGTTTTCTTATTCATCATAAAAATGTATATTATAAGTCACTTTAAACTATATTAATATGATTTATCAATCAACGTTTCATGGGAATGTCTAAATTATACAATTTCTATCGTTTTCTATCAATATTTGAAATAAGAAAGTGTGGAAAATGTGCCTTTTATCACAGGAGATTGACATTCTATCAATAATTGAAAAATATAAGCAAATAATTAAAAAATAACGACAAATATACCCCTCTATACTATAAATATAAGGGGTTTATTTGCCGTTATTTTTTTATTTTTTGCCTATAAAATGTCAATTTCCTGTGCATATACATACACTTTTGTTTGCTCCTTTAACAATTATAGTGAATAAGTATTTTGTATGGAAGTCAAAATACTACATGTACTTTGTTTACATATTGCTACCTTTACGACGTATTATTACACATGCAGCGCTACTTTCTTCCGTTGTGAAACATTTAACATGCTCTTAATCCATTATTTAAACTCTTTTGATCACATTTCTAAAGAATGAAAAACAAATGTGAATTTCTGAGGCATAATGTGCCTTTAAAGTTCAAGACTAAATTGCAAGGTACCAGATCTTGTGCAGCCATTTCCACGTGAACACACATACTCACAATGGTCTTACTTAATATAAAACACCGAAATGTGTTGAAAAGATATGTTGGTTTCCGGTTAAACATATGACTATTTGAAATCCCCACTAAACGCCCCTTTCGTGTAAGGTTTATACATAAGCATTTCAAACTGGCGGTACGTCTTAACCCCCCCCCCCCCCCGCCCCCATTCCACTTCCAGTTAACTTCCGAAGGTAGAGCTTGAATTTGTATTATGTATAAATATGTCTAATATGTTCAAATCAAACTCGGATCTTACCATTAACTTGAATAAACAAATTGCTCATGTGGCATTTTTATTACTATTTCAAAAAAGAACAGTTTGTGGGATTGCCATTCAACTTGAAACACTCGTGTTATCAGAAAAATGTTAAACGCCAGACAAATTTAAACAAAAAGAATAAAAAGAAAACTGTCACGGTAGCTAAAATTAAAATGAAAACACACCGCTTGACTATATACGAGTACGTCGTAAATTGATACATTTTCTATACGGTGCATGTTTTTTTAAGTATCCATCGCGTTTTTAACGGACACATTTTTTTTTATAATTTTTTTTTTTTTAATAAATTTTTGAAGAAGTGTTTGTTTAATTCTGCAAAAATTATGGTGCGCTTAACATATTATAGATTATATATTTTAATCTATGGAATAATTCTTAAAGTTTATAGAAGTACAGTTCATGCGTCCACCTTCATCATTATTATGAACTTATTCTACTGTCAAAAGAACCGCTTCGAAAAATTATGAAATAAATAAATCTAAAATTTGTCTAGATTTGGATTATGTTGATTCTAGGCTGTCAATTATATCGCATTTGTATTTAGTTTACTATGAAAAAAGAGCATTTAATTCTTTTTTACAATTTTATTGTTTTCTTTTTCTGCACGTAGATTCTTAACACGTGCTTCACTTGACCGGCTCTGTCTGACAAGACCAAACCTGTACACGTGCAAAAAAAAGACATCATAATGGATTTTTTTTAATTTTATGAACAATATAGTAGGTGTGTAAAGATCAGGTCGCAAGTTTCTAGCTTAACTGTTGGAGGAAGACCTTAAAATGATGAAAGTATATTTAGGGAAAACTTATAACTAACACGACGTTACTCTATAAAGAAAGGATTGGTGTTTGTTTACAAGGTTAGACGATTAAAATCTTAACATAAATATACATGCATGTAACTTTGCCCATTTGTTTATACATGTTCACTAAGCGTGTTACAATGTTTTGCCACGTGACGCGAACTCTTTTATGATCGATTCATCTCGTGGATAAAAGGTAAGTTAACATTCTATAATAAATCATCTTTTTTTGTTTTTCTATAATATAAGTATTTATAGTATTTACAGAAACGTTGGAAAAGTTGATAATTGTATTCAATTAATATTTTTTCGCTAAACATTTGTAATTAGTTTAATATGAAAAATAACATAGATATTAATGTATGTAAATTTGCCCATTTTGTTTGTACATGTTCGTAACATAAGCGCGTATACATGTAATAATGCTTTGCCACGTGATGTTTACTCATTGTTTACATTTTTGTTTACATTATTTTTATTATAAATATCTTTTTGTTTAGATATTCAATATACTCGTACATGTTAAGATTATATTAAAAAATATTTATAAGCTTAAATAAACGTATAGATATTTTTTTATTTAAATAAACGTTTTATCGTACTTATAGTTACTATAGTAGTTTTCATGTACATAATTCACTACACTGGTATTTTGATGTTAAAAATAGATTTGGATTTTCCCAAAATGGGATTAGTATAGCTTTACTTGATAAGTTTGGTAAGTAAAATATTTTACAGTTTATCTATTTATTACAAGAATTTTAGATTATAAAGCAGTTCCATAGGCAGAACATATTTGTAATTTTAAATATGATAATAAATATTAGTAATTTGTGATCGAAATTAGTACAAGTTCATTATAGTCATAAGATTAATCGTAGAACTGATAAGATTGCCTGTGTTCAGATCGAATTTTCGTATTTACAGATAAACTGATAAAAGTACATTGCTACATTTATAAAGCATTCGTAATAAAAAAAAAACATCGATAATTCTGTCATGAAAAGTAGACATGCCTGTTGGATTAGTATACATACAAAATTGATGAAATTTTAATGTTTTATGGCTTAATGTATGGCTTAAACACGTGAGAGGTATTTCATCACTCCCTGTATATGCTACGTTAAATGTACATTTTTAACGGTTAGTCATTACACAATGCTTGTATGATATATCTTTATCGCAAAGAAGTAGCAAAAACGTAAATAAAAATTATTTCTGTTTGGTTTCAAGTCATATCGACCCTGTAAACTTAATTGGGCGGCTTTCCAGCTTTAATGGTTTCGAAAGTCCTCACGTGCCGTCCGTGCAATTTTCGGGAAAAGGGGGGGAGGGGCAGGGAGGGTCCGAGAAGAAACTTCTTGCAAGATGACTTCCTCACATGGAATAATCCTTATCCCCTCTATGACTCGAACACACATCGGTGAGAGGCAAAATATTTGCGTCGTTAACCATTCTGAAAGGAGTCCCCTTTGAATAATAAACACTCATAACTGCATTTAAGACCCTATCCGGGCCTTATATAGAAGTTTTGTCTCTGAATTTTCATTAAAAAAATCCAGTAACATGTACTTTATCTACTTTATCAAATGTCGTCGCCATCTAGTGCCTGAAATAATACACGGACAGCGGGGGGCGGACATGAGATCTTCCTCAAACCGATAAAGCCGGAGATTCTACTAATAATTACCGTGCAAAAATAATAATGATAATAATAATTACCGTGCAAATTTGTCCTGTTTGAAAAACCAATTGTCATGTCAAAATTTTTTATTTTCATTTTTTTCTAAAACTGTCCGTAAGGGACATATATACTTTATAGATATACACATATACTTTTGATAAGCTCAATTGTTTTTTTATGAGCACTTGAGTAGGTAATCAACAATATTTATGTCATGAGGAAAACAGTTTAAAGAACCTCTTCTAAAACAATAGATAAGTCAATGATCTCTTGTGATATGAGATATCCCACAAATACTTTTAGCGTTTTAATAGCCTGTTATGTTTTCAAAGAAAAGAAAGCGAATCTTTATTGGAATTTATGACTTTATTTTTCTTAAATTCTTTCTCTTCGATGTGAGCAACTCGGTTTCTATAAAATTTTAATAATATTAGAACCTCAATCGCAACTTTTCGGACCTTTCCGACAGTCTTCTATTAAGGACGTTCCGATTGATAGTAAGATGGTTAAATCTCGCACTGAAGGTGCACTATTTTGGCACCAAAAATCGATCAAGCAGTGCAAGGAAAATCTCGGCTCACAAAATTCCTCCAACCCCTAGCCCAACAAATTGTGCGCTTTAGGGCTTTTTTATATAGACGATGGTCGCCCTTCGCAAAGACAGACATCTATGAAATGTCAGATTATAAAATATTGTAAAATTATATAAGTCTTGCCGTCGGAAATATTGAGACTACTCCAACCCCAAGCCTTCATGCCGACACCCCCCCCCCCCCCCCCACCAACAATTAAATATAGAATACCAGTAGGGTAACAACATGTAACTGGTATATATATATATCAAAACATTTTATGAGAGTAATTAAAAAACTCCTAAAGGTTTATGGTTTATGAGGCTTAATTATTTTTGAATCTGGTTGCTTTGTTGTTGTTTTTTTTTTAACCTATTGCTGCTTTTTTTCATATTTGACTATTACCGTGTTTTTCAGAATAATATAACGTCGGAATAAAACAACGACAAAGCGAAATAGATAAACAAGCAACGGAACTGAGGTGAACAATGGACAGTGGCGAAGAAATGGAAATAGATGCTTTAGAAACTGAGACGCCTGGGGCACCGGAAGTTCCAACAGCGGCAACAGCAAAAGCTACTGCAAAGTTACCAGCAGGTTTCGGTTTCACAAAAGAGACCGCCCACGTAAGACTATCCACCGAGCGTGATTTATGCAGTGAACAGGTGCATACAAAGAGCCAAGAAAACACTTTGTCCTTTATGCATGGACAATGCAAACAAGGGAGAGATTGTGCTTCGCCGAAACATGCGCTTGATAATTCTCCGACTGGTAACTTGTCAAAGTGTCCTGTTGTCAAAGATCAGAAAGAAACAGTAGAGATCGATACTATTTTGACAAGACATCTTCAGGAGAAAGTGCTGCGGGCACCTCCAATGGTCGTACCTGTAGATTATGTTGACATGAGTCCAAAGAATCTTCCAACTGATGCGAAAATGACCTGCCTGTGTTTAATACCTATAGGAAAACGGGTAATCTTAAAATATAATTTATATTTTCCGTCCTTTTTTAAAAAGTTATAACGCTCCCTTCGCAGCTCAACTGAATACAATCACAAAGTGAGCGATAGTAGAACATTCGACCGATGTGCAAGAGAGTAAAAGTAATGTACATAGTTTACTTCTCTTAAAATCTTAGTACATGTTTCTCAAGTTTGATTTTCTTGAAATATTTTGTCTGGTCTGTCTAGCTTTAAATCATTCATTCATAATATGTTGCCAAATTCAGAATCTGACATAAACTAATTTCATATCAGAAGGAATTCCCATGTAGCTATTTTTACTCGCATTTTAAAGTGTTTGCATAAAACGCAAAATAGTCCAAGTGAACTATTTATAGAATTACTTGTTTATAACGGGACTTTACCTGGTTAGGTAAAATTTTTCTCTAGGTTTTACCATGTTTATTACTTACCTTTAAACGTGATTTACAATATAATAATGCATAGGCACTTGGTAAAAAACCTTAAAAGGCACATACTGCCCCAGGACAAGATGGTCAAAATGTGTGTTTTTATAATGTTCGAATAATGAAATGAAAGCATGTGAAATGCTCATTATTTATTTATAACTTAATTATTATTTACTGGTTGTAGCGCTGAATGTGAAATAATTTTTAATAAAGATAGCAAATTGTAAACAAAGTGATAGTTTGACTTCCATAAGAATGCACTAAATAACAATTACATGTATAACTATACTAAAAAACAAAGAACATAAGAAACAAAGAATGGTTCAGCTTTATGGCCTTTGAGTCATTTTAGCTCGTCTATTCCAAAGAAAAGCTATATTATGAAGGCAACGGCGTAGTGCAAAAGCTTGGAATACTTTAGTACTTATCTAAGAATAGGTGCATAATTCTGAATACAATATGTTGGAGTTAAGTCCCTTTTTGACTTGCAATTTTAACAGACGAGCGTTAACACTACTTGCGAAGCCCTCTGTTTGGAAATTGTAACAGTTCATCAAAACTAAAAAAAAATTTGAGCTGTTAGAAAGTATAATTTTAAGGCCTAATGGGGTTCCCTCTTAGAAATTGAAATTGTATTTTACAAATGTATGTTTTGGTTACATTATAATGATACTGAAGGTTATAATTTTTAGTTTAATATTTCAAGAAGTTCATAGGAACTTTAAAGACTTAAATAGGTATATTAAATCCTTTAAGTTTAAAATCTCTATAACGTTCAAATTAGCATGACTGGGAGGGAATTAGAGCACCATGCTAAATACCGTATTCCGGTATATACCGGACACAGCGCTTGAATTATTAATTGCTAATTATATAATTTCGCCTTTTCACCTTAAGACGTCTAATGAATCTATTCACGACGATTTATATGCGATCATGATTTCTGCAAGCGTCTAGAGGTACTGCTCATACACTGTATATTAATCGAATTTTTGTACTGGCAAATTTATATTAAAACCCGTAATCATTATGTCAAATTTGAATAAAACATAAGCGTTTTATTAATTTGAAGAATAAATGAAAATTTGGTAAAGTTTGAATGTATATTAATGTTGTAACAACAATACAGAATAAAGATATCATTCTTTGGTATTTCCTTCGATATCTCCAAAAAAAAAATTGCGTAAGACGGCTGTTTTTGATCAAAATCATGAAAAAAAAAATAAATAAAATGATGATGAAAAACATGTTCAACATCATTGCTTATCTCATTCAAAAACCAAGGTGATATTTTCTTACCTTTCCGTAATAAGATATTCGCAGGTTTATTGCGACCGTAGGGTTTCCAAAATCTGCTATGTAATAGTAGTATAGTAGTATATTGTTGCTGCTGTTGTTGGTGATGGTGGTGGTAGTGTTGTTGTTGTTGTTCTACTTATTCTTCTTCTTCTTCTTCTACTGATTTTTCTACTTCTACTTCTTTTTCTTCTTCTACTTCTTCTTCTTCTTCTACTTCTTCTTCTTCTTCTTCTACTTCTTCTTCTTCTTCTACTTCAACTACTTCTTCTTCTCTAAATGGCCCAGTCGTCATGCGAGCACATTTTGATACTTAGCTATATATATATATATATGTAATAATATATATAATTATTCTAGAATAAGATACTACATTGTATATTTCAGCATATACATGCTTATACTAAAACCCTTATAACTTTATCAATTCTTTTTGCAATAATTTGCCTATTTTATAAGAATATCTAAATGATACATTTTTTAATGTTTTTTTTTATCTTTGTTTTATTTGAATTGGCCCGTTGAAGACCAATCAACTTTTTAAAAAAATGTATTTTTTTGGAATTATCAATTTCACGTCGGATAAACAAACAAGAACATTTTATCCGTTCTGAGGAATTGAAAAATTCGTTCCAACCAATGAATGAAAATTTATTTTATAATGTATTAAATTTTCGCCATTGATTTGGGAGCAAAAACGAAACGTGCCTTTAAACCTTTTTGCACCGCCACACGATACTCTGTACATGGCTATAAAATATAAAAGTGGTTTTCCAATTACGACATATACTACGTAAAAACCGGTCCGCTCTGTATATATAAAGCTTAAATCATTACATATAAGTTCATATCCATACAGCTATTCAACAAGTTGTGTTTTAGTGGTGATATAAAATACAAGTTAAATATGCGGGTCTTAGGAAAACTACAAAGGAATCTGACACAAGGCTCGATTCGTACAGATATGCCTACAGATATGCCGGATAATGAAAATTCAATTAGGAAAAGGGACAGGTCTAATAATACAATATCGTGTTTATGCTGGAGTTTTAAAAGGAAACGCCGTTTTCCAACTATAAGGGTAAATTTAATTTAGTGTCGTTTAAACTGATTTTTTTTGTTAGTTTGGGTTGTTTTATTTGTACAATATCATCTTTTTCTTTATTATCTTCATTTTTTTATTTATTCATTAATTAATTCATTCATTCATTCATTCATTCATTTTTTTATTTATTCATTTATTCATTCATTTATTTATTTATTTATTTATTCATTCATTCATTCATTTATTTATTCATTTATTTATTTATTTATTTATCTTTGTTTTTGTTATTTTTGTTGTATTTATCCACGAACAATATTTTACCTTTAAATTCGGTATAACGATATATTTTTTTTTTTATTTATTATTTTTTGCTATTGTTATTGTTCTTTGTTTTATCAATGAACAATATTTTACCTTTAAAATTCGTTACAACGATATAGCTTTGTACCATTTAAAAAATTTAAGTTTCTAGAAAAACTATTTTGTTTTTTAACTTAATTTATTATTGCTTATATAAATGATAATACTAATGTGTTTTAAATATACTTATATACCTTATTTTAAAATACTCGATTGAATACTTATTAAATATGAATTTATGATATCCCATACGAACACTATAAAAAACAAACTAGGTTAACGGGTAGAGTTCGTCTAAAAAGAATGCATGACATAATAAATGATTACGAGTCTATTTTTAGCCGAAATGCCTATTTTATTTTCGTTTCAACATAAAATACATTTGAAGTTAAATATGATTTTCCTATGACTTCATAAATGGACTGTTTACAAAGTTAGACCTTCATTTTCTTTTTTCAAATTATATAATATCAAGTTACCGCAAATATATCAAGAAAGTTCGTCTTATAAAATAAGACATGATGTTTTGCAAATTCGTCTAGTCAAAAGCATTTTTACTTCAAAAGATAAATGAGCCGCGTCACGACAAAACCAATATAATGGGTTTGCGACCAGCATGGATCCAGACTAGCCTGCGCATCCGCGCAGTCTGATCAGGATCCATGCTGTTCGCTTACAGACCCTATAACAAGTAGAGAAACTGATAGCGAACAGCATGAGTCCTGATCAGACTGCGCGGATGCGCAGGCTGGTCTGGATCCATGCTGGTCGCAAACGCACTATGTTGGTTTTGTCTTGGCGCGGCTCAAATGTTAAGTTTCAATCATCAATCGTCTACGATTTTTTTACTTTTTATTTTATTATTGGTCAAAATGAATTCAAATACTTTCAATGAATTCCAAAAAAGAAAAACAAAAGGAATAAAAGTACGGCCACACTTTTATATTTTGCTACTTTTCATTTCAGACGCCTGATGCGCGATCCGATATATACATCCCTCACACGGGAGCTGATAAGCCAATGGGCGATGAATTTGGGGCAAGATTAATCACTTTTAGGGACAACAGAAAAGATGGGTCGCCGTATTATAGGCATTTCTTGGAACGGATTGTTCAAAATGGCCCTGCCGATCAAATGCGAATTGAGTAAGCTATATATGTAGTTAATTAATATATTAAATATAACAGATACTTCTCTTTCAACCAAACCGCCTCTGTGGTCGAGGGAATAGAGTCGATGGCTTCTAATCCAGTTACCTCTATGGCGTGGGTTCGATCCCCGGGAGATGCTTTGGTAGTTACGCACGGAGGAAGGTAGTGCAGGAACGATGGTACAGAAACTACCGGCCTTTATATATATAGATATGACTGAAATACTGTTGGGAAAAGGCGTAAAATGAAACAAACAAACTCTTTTAACCTAATTCACTCTATTGATCTGTTGAATTACTCTGTATAATCAAGCATGGACTTTAAATAATTTTATTTTTATCTCTTCTTGCAGTGATCGGGATGAGCTTGTTTTGGTAAACGAAAAGTTTGCACCGCAGTTTACACATGATGCAGTTTGTGATATGTTTAGGCGCGTAAAAGTTGATGGAAAGACAAGATTTACGTTGGTAGGTTCTTCTACATCTACAATTAAATCGAAAGATTGTATGCTCGACTTTAATTTAAAAAATAAGGCACAAGGAGGAACTAGGAGCACAAAACCTTTGCGTTATAGGTGTTTGTCCATGCGACATTTCGTGTGTGTATAAACTACGTATTCTCTTTAAAACATAATTTCCGGAATCTTGCGAAATCTTCCTTAAGTGTCCGATCTCGTAAAGTTTTGGCTCATATAAAAGATTGGCTGCCTTTAAGTTCGTTTACGGCGACACAGATATTTTGAAAATGCAAAGTGTAAAACATAAAAGGTTAATCTTATTGACTTGAATCTTGAAATTGTGTAGGGCTATGCTTTGGTATATCTAATAGAACTATTGTCCTTAACTCCCTTAACTTGGCTAGTGGTTCGAAGTCAGCGAAACGGCCAATGGCGCCAAATACCACTAAATATGGCTAATTACCTCAGCCCCTTTACAGAATTGTCTTTTGGTATCATGTGCAATAAAACTATTGTGAAGAGAACACATTTAATAATGAACATATTGTTTATACACGCATATAGGTTATACGGAGAATACAAGAAAACCGGAAGCGGAAGTGGGAGTGGATCGAGACAAGTGCTATTCTTGCACCGGATAAAACAATTGGTAAATATTCATTCTTTTATTTGTTGTACAGCTTGGTTCTAGGGAAGGGAAGGACTGTATTTTTTATGTTTGAGATCAAATTATCAATCTTTGATTATAATTTAATTACCAAAATAAAAAAAATATATTCAGTTTTTTTCATCGTGTCAATGTCATATGAAAATAATGATCTAAACCCAGATTTTTTTAATATGAATACAGTCAAGCAAACATCATTGCTAATTGCTAAACATAAGCTCCTTGCGGCTGAGCGGTTGCCCTTACTGGTTGAGGCCACCGTTTAACCCTGTGTGACCGCAGGGGCAACTAAATGGGTTCGAATTACTGGAGTCTATGCATCTCTTAGTTGGTTTTGACCGCTGGTGTTGCTTTAAGTTTGTAACACCCGAGGTTACCCAAAGTCATCTTTCCTGTCTCGGCGCCATATGACCCTATACCTTAATTGTGTTCGATAGACGTAAAACCAAACAAACAAAACTAAAAGCTTAACTTAAATTCGGACAGGGAATTTAATTATATTAGCTTGCGGAAGCAAAAACAAAATGGAGAGGACACTAATAAGCGTTATAGCTTTCTGCCCAATCCCAAAATGTACTTATTGTTCACTTGTAAACTATTACGTTTAAACCAAAACATTGAAGTAAAGGAAAAATTTTCATAAGTGACTCATTTTAGGTTATTTTATTTTGGGCATTAGAGATTGGGACATGCTTCATTCCGTACAAGTTCGTATAACTTGTGTAACGGTTTTGATCATATATGAATCTCAAATAATTTATTCAATAGAATAGAATAGAATAGAATAAAACTTTTATTATCCTCCATATACGAAGAGCATAACATACAAGTACAAGTGCAACGCGAATCATTCAGAAAAAAAAAACATTTTTTAACTTAACATACACTAGATCTGTACGTGTGAATCAAATCAAGTTTTCAAAAGTGGCAAAGGCTTGACACAGAAATAGCTTCTCATATGTCAATTTAGATCAAAGTTCATATTTTGCGGCCTTACTCGAAAGCGAAACTCCAGACCGTCATATAATTCGATAGTTTAGAGGTCATGCCTAAGTGTACAAAATAAATATTTACAAAAAGACATTTAACATATTGTTGCATTTAAAGAGTACATAATTTCTCTTAGATAATTGTACATATACTTCCTGAAAGCATGTATTAATCATTATACTTTGAATAAAAGTTCAATCGTAAGAGTATTAATGTACGTATATCATAAACATTAACTTCCAACGAATGTTAAGTACTTAAACCGCAATGCATCCTAAATTAAAACGAAATTAGAAATAATGAAACATGTTGTTATTCAGAAGAACACCCTACGATAGAAAATCTTAAGTTCAAAGAGTTGGAAAGCGACGAAATTGAATTTCCAATAAGTCAGCACTTGTATAAGGTTCCACAGACCCAGCAGTATCTTGACGTGTGTGATGGAAGTGTGAAACTTGGTGTGATGAAAGGGAACAAAAGCGATAGATCAAGTATGTATATTATTAGTAATATATATATTTTTTGACAGGTTATATAGCCCTATATAAATGGTTGGTTTGAAATTTATTGCAATCTGATGGGTGGGGGGTATTGATTTGACCTTCTTTATCTACTATGGTTCATAGATAAGCTGTTCTTTTCTTGCATATTTGACTGAATATTAACCTACGCTTGAACAAATGCTGGACTATATCATCTGATATGTAAAGGCGAATTGCATGCTGTAAATAACGTTATTCCGGAAGTTGTAAATTCATACGCTTCTATAAGAAAATAGTGTAAAATAGAATTAAGTAGTTTTTTCAAGTACAACCATTTCAAGTTCCCAACCGCTTGTTTGCAATAACTCAGTTATTGTAAAAAAATAACTCTTTTAATAATGCGGAAATTTTTTACATGATAACTTGAAGCTGATGATGTCAATAAACTTCTTAAGTCCATTTCATTTTCATTTCTTAATGAATCTTTAAGAACACTTTGGAAATCAATAGCATTTCTTGTTCACACGGAAGCTATTTTTTAACAACCACTTATCTATTTCGATTTACAATAGGTTCAATTATTTGATAAATTGTCCTGCTCCCCAGTGGCTTCTCCTATATTTCCAGTAATAGTGCTTCGAGTTAATTCGAGGGTTATATTGGAAGCACTCGTATATAACCTGTCAAGATCAGGAATCCTTGTAACGGATTTATAATACTTTATGGTAGAACTTCATAAATCGTTTACAGTGGTGTATAAAGATAATATAAAGGTCATAATTATCCAATGAAAAAGACGCTACAAACGCGCAGTATCAGATGTAACGTTCGTTTAACCCGAGAGTCTTGCAAATCTATGCAGTAAAATCACTTATCAGGCTAAAAACTTTTGTGTTTTGATAGCGAAATCCATGTAATTTTTTCAAATGAACTTGAATTCCAAATTTAAATCAGGAGAAATTCACTATATACAAATGGAGTTGGTTAAATGATTCATATAATTTAATAAAACATTTGTAATATTTCAGAGGTGATTTGGAAGAAAGCAAAATACTGGCAAGACAACAACGATGACATACACATCAACTTTGCTGCGGCCCTCGTTGATTACACAAAGAAATGGTACATTGCAATTGACGGAGGCAAAATCGTTTTAAAAGTATGAGCATTTACATTTGAAATTATAATAAGAGAAATGTTTGATTCCTTGAGAACAAATAATAAGATATTTGAAATGTCATAATCTCAATTCATGTTGTTTAAAGGCCCATTATGCCTCAGGAATTCTTTTATCTTTATTATTTCAAATAATATTACTTATTGGCCAATTATTTGAATAATCTTTTTCATCTGGTTTTTTTGCAGTTAGTAGATACAGTGTTGAAGTATTTTGTATGAAAGTCAAAATACTATTTTGTTCACGTTTTTCTACTTTTATGACAAGTTTATCGATATTTCTTTCAGGTTACAAGCAACTAACATGCCCTCATACCATAATTTCAATAATTTGATAAATTTGTATGTGTCTTTTCTAAGTAAACATTTATTCGTTTCTAAGGGATGATGATGTGCCTTTAAACTTTTTTTATGAGTGATATAATTTAATGTGTACCTTTTTTAACGTACAGTCAAACGCGGTTTAAAGACCATCCAGTTAAAATAAAGGCCACTTTTAGACAAACTTTTATTGCTAAAAATGCATCAGAGTAAACTCCGAATAAAGACCACTTGCCAATAAATGCCATGTATGGTATCTCGTTTGGATGACCTTTACTTTAAAATATATACATTTGAACTTCGTGTAAGCTATTATCATATGATTTCTCATTTTTTTCATTTCAGAAAGAACCGTATTGGTTTAAAATGATAACAATAGGCGGTAAAATCCGTTTCCAGGCCGACGGTAAGTACCTTTAAGCTATCACAACATAATTAACTGATTAATTAATTTATAAACTTAAACTTAGTGCTTGTAAAATCTTCAAACTTACAATACATAGTATTTTCGTGGTTTCGTTGTTTCAAATTATGTATTTGTTTCGATACAATACTTGCAATACAGTCATGTTATAGTGTAAGCTGATAATCAAGTATAACCGATCAACCTTATCTGCATTATGATATAAAACTGGTCATTTGGATTTTTTTTTCAGACGTATATCTTGGTTACGACACTACTAGATGCGAAGTCAAACCAGAGGTATCCCAGTGTACGTTTGAAGAACTTCCCGCAAATGATGTAGATAACGAAATAAATGCCGATGAACACTTTGAAATTTTACCAGAAAATGCTGACACTATTTCTGAAGAAATGTCACGGCATAGTAGCATGTCATCGTTGTCGTCGGGTAGCAGTCGATCAAAGAAAAGCTTCGCATCGTCAGTATCGAGTTCAAAGTCGGTCAGAAGCAGTACATCATCGCAGTCTAGTGTAGACTCTGACCGAAGCAGTATTTTGTCCTCGCAGTCGAGCACCGACTCCGGTGGAATAACTCATGAATTTAACCGCAGCTCTAGTGATGTCTCTGGCCATTGTTGCGAACCATCGTCCCTGTCACATTCATTTTCGTCTGAATCCAGTGGGTATCGGTCCGGGTATAAGTCCGATCAACATGTTAATACTGAAGACATTGACATTGTAAAACCAACTGATATATCTGTAAAGCGTAAAACCGAAATGACTGGAGAATGTATATTAACTGATAGTTTGAAAGACGTGGTAATTTGACAATCCTGTTGCACCAGAGGGTGTATAGGAAACAGCGAATGACGTGGAAAGTGTATCAGCTATGAATAACACTTTGCTTGCCAGAAATAGATAGATATTTTTTATTTAAATACTTTGATATTTATTTATAAAATTGTTTGTGTATAATTATTGCTTTTATATGAAAAGTTGAAATAAACGAAATCAAACATGCGCTGTCTCGCAATTAAGGCAACTGTCATTGACTTTTACAAACACAATAACACTAAAGAAAAAAGTGTGCTTTTATTGCAAACTTACCTGGTAAAGGAGGCAAATTTGCTTCATCTGTTTTTAATTCTGTTTGCCCGTGTGACGTCATTAGTCATTATTTTGCTTACCTTTTTGTAAAAAAAAAATCATCAATGCATTATAATATATAACAAACAATGTCAATATCACAAAACGGTAGAAATCTCGTGCAGTACAACTATCACATTCATTTTTATTGTTTGAATAAAGTATTGAACTTTTAAAATGTATTTGTCTTTTGTCCCAAAGTCAACCTTACCAACTTGAAGTGTTCATACTTTAATAACTGCTATCATAAAGTGCTTATCTTCTTTAAATAAAAAAGCAACCGTTTTAACAAAATCCCTTATTCGACACGATAAAATCTGACCTGTGGTATCATACGAAATAATTATGTGACCGGTGGTTTCAATCAATACATGTGACCGGTAGTTTCATACAATATATGTGTCCGATGGTTTCATACAATATATGTGTCCGATGGTTTCATACAATATATGTGTCCGATGGTTTCATACAATATATGTGTCCAGTGGTTTCATACAATATATGTGACCGGTGGTTTCATACAATATATGTGTTCCATGGTTTCATACAATATATGTGTCCCATGGTTTCATACGATAAAATTATGTGACTGGTGGTTTCATACAATATATGTGTCCGATGGTTTCATACCAATTAAGCTCGAAATTTTCATCACGATATCGCAACAATACAATCATAAACTTATCTTATTTTACAAAATGAAAAATAATTTAACCCCAGACTTTTTGTCTGATCTTGTTCCTTCTTCAGTTGGCTCCGAACATCAGTATCCCCTAATAATATCCCTTAATTATAAGGAATGCTCAATATACATAGACCATCACGTACACATTTGAGCCGCGTCACAACAAAACCAACGTAATGCGTTTGCGACCAGCATGGATCTAGACTAGCCTGCGCATCCGCGCAGTCTTATCAGGATCCATGCTGTTCGCTTACCAACTCTTTTACAAGTAGAGAAACTGATAGCGAACAGCATGGATCCTGATCAGACTGCGCGGATGCGCAGGCTGGTCTGGATCCATGCTGGTCGCAAACCCATTATGTTGGTTTTGTCATGACGCGGCTCATTTCTTCTATAATTCTTTACTAGAGACTTTAACGTCCTTCCAATAGAAACCCAACATGCGCTCCTAAGCTTGCCGCCTTTAAAGCGCAGTAATAAATATGCTGAACTTACTTTACTATGGTAATCGAAAAGACCCAAAAAAATGTATACATACCGGACTTCGAACCAAACACAGATCTCTTGTATCTGATTTATTTGATGAGAATATTACTGAGTCTCCACTGTGTCCACTGTGTGATTGTGGGGAAGTTGAAAATGCCTTTCATTTCTTTCATCTACTAAACACTCTTTTCCAACTTTTATGTTGACCCTGCTTTACTTACGGACTCCAACACTGCTATTTTCACCGTCGTTCATAAGTTATAAGGGATACTTAAAGTTTTATAACTGTCATATAACATATTGTTCACATAACTTCCTTTTTCATACATGTACTTTTTACCAAAATTATTGTAAATGATACGTAAATATGCATCCGCATACACCTCTTTTCTCTATTATCTTCTATATGTAAATGTTTTTAAATTTTTCTTTATTTTCTCTCTTTCTAGGGTTTAATTACAATCATAATAAGCCATGTATTATATGAACATATTGCTTTTGACTACCATAAGCTATTGCAGCTCTCGGTCCAATTCCCTTCTGCTTTAAATATGTATATACATATATTTAAATAAAACTACGTTTTAACCAAAATATGTTGCATATTATATCACCAGTCAGGGAAACCATGCAATACTGGTAATTTCCATATTCTATTTTTAGCAATTGTGTAAAATACAAATACGTAAATAAGTACTATACGAGTATCGGAGTGATTAAACATTAAACACTAAAAAATATGAGGGTTTTGGAGCCTTCAACGAAGTGTGACAGATCAAATGACACTAAAAAAAGTGCTGGATGTTTCAGAGCCATATTTGCTAGAAGGCGAAGGCCGAACACTACTAAAAGGGTAAATTTAAAAATATTTCTGCATCTAAACAGTGTATTTAAATTTCGTCTTGATTGCGCAATAAATCGTATCCCACGTGACAAACTATGTCATGCTTTTTTGAGTATATTGTTGGGAAAAGAGAATTGCTTTAAATGAATTTCAAATTGATATAATTATGTCCAAAAATTCCTCATTCATAAGTTAATGTGCAATATGTGGCGATCGTTCGCTTTAATGCAACAATGGTTATAAAACAGACAGATAAATAAAAAATTATTTTCGTACATTTTCACATATAAATATGACATATGTTAAGATAAAAAAAATAAATGTCCTGGATATATTTCCTGAAATCGTTTTGTTCTAATTGTTAACTTTTTGGATAAAAAAAACACAATTCTTGTTGAAGAACCACTTAACCTATTTTTTCAAGAGCAAAACGATCACATGGAATCAAATTATAATTAAAAAAAAAAACCCTTTGTGTCACGTATTTTTTTTTAAATATTATGCACATATACATTGGCTAAAGAAACAATTGTGGGAAACTGACAATTGTCATGTTCGACATAAGACTTGTAAAATTGACAAACAAGAAGTATCTTTAAAAAGATAAACTGCCTTGACTTGCATTGTGTCCTTGGTATGTACACGTTGTTCCGGGATGTTGAACGTTATTGATCGTCTCGTCATTTTAGAATTGCATTTATAACTCTGTAAATACTTCTATTGAATAAGATATTCACTAGCTATTAACTTAATGAATAGTTTAAAAGCAGTATAAAATATTCATTGGGAGGAAGTTCACAGATCTCAAATATCCAAGAAATTATACGAGATAGTATAATGAAACTCATTAAGATTATGTATGTACGTTTTAGAAAAATCCTTTAGATTATTAATAATAATCTTAGAATGGCCAATGAGATACCAGGATTTCTTTTACAATTTTGAAATGACCAATGAAAATTCTTCTAATATTCAGCTCTTCCGTGTAAATTTTACAGGAAGTAAAACCGATTTTCAAAAATAAAATTCTACACCCTCGTGTGTAAAATAAATTACATCATCCACGAAACCGGAAGTGATCAGCCTTTGTTATCAATAATATGAAAAAAGCAAAGCCTCAAAGCAAACTCGATTTACTTTTACCGTGAAATGGTATAAAATAATCGTTCATTTTTATTTTACATCTTCCGCTTTAAAATTGTCATTCGGTATTTTATACACTGCTTCCGTTTATTCTGGTTCTCTGTCCAAATATGGTTCCCATATAAGTGCGCAGGACACCAGTCTACGCTTCCGTTTTCAATCAGAATATCTCGGTTTTTATCGATATCTTGAAATTCGAAAAGTTGCGATGTGTCAGTTAAGTAATTCGGACGAAAGTTTTCAAAACCGTCACTATCTAGCAGGAACTCGCGTTACCGTAGAGCAGGCCCTTCGGGCCAGCTCTTCGAGCTCTCTATGATTATAGCCAGGCCAGACTGCACGTCCTTGCAGTCCAAGGTGATCCAACTGTTCACTCCTGGCTGACCAACTGAACAGATTGATCTTGTTATCCCTCGTAAGTAAAAGTTTCAAAGTAAATTCTCGACAACAGTCCTTGAATGAATCATTGACAAAAGTTTCAAAGTGAATCCTTGACAACAGTTTCAAAATGAATCATTGACAACAGTTTCACAATGAATCCCTGACAACAGTTTCAAATGAATCCTTGACAACAGTTTCAAAATGAATCCCTAACAACAGTTTCAAAATGAATCCTTGACAACAGTTTCAAAATGAATCCTTGACAACAGTTTCAAAATAAATCCTTGACAACAGTTTCAAAATGAATACATGGCAAACGTTTCAAAATGAATCCTTGACAACAGTTTCAAAATGAATCTCTAACAACAGTTTCAAAATGAATTCTTGACAACAGTTTCAAAATGAATCCTTGACAACAATTTCAAAAAATAAATCCTTGACAACTGCTTTAAAATAAATCTTTGACAACAGTTTTAATGTGAATCCATGACAACAGTTTTAAAATACATCCTTGACAACAGACTCAAAATAAATCCTTGACAAGTTTCAAAATAAATCCTTGACAACAGTTTCAAAACAAATCCTTGACAACAGTTTCAAAATGAATCCTTGACTACAGCTTTAAAATTAATACTAGACTACAGTTCCAAAAGGAATCCTTGACAACAGTTTCAAAAGGAATCCATGACAACAGTTTCAAAATAAATCCTTGACAACAGTTTCAGTGTGAATCATTGACAACAGTTTCAGTGTGAATCATTGACAACAGTTTCAAAATAAATCCTTGACAACAGTTTCAAAATAAATCCTTGACAACAGTTTCAGTGTGAATCATTGACAACAGTTTCAGTGTGAATCATTGACAAAAGTTTTAGTGTGAATCATTGACAACAGTTTCAAAATGAATCCTTTATAACAGTTTCAAAATGAATTCCTGAAAAGACCATTTAAGATTTTTTTATCATTATAGCCGCCGGAGCAAGAGACACAAATAATTATATGGTATGATGAGAAACAAGAAGACTTTGAAGCTACGTTACAGACCTACAAAACATTTGAAAAGAATGGAGACATAGTATACAGACATTTCCTGGTAAACGTGTCAAAAACTGGACCAGCCGGTCAAATGAGAATAGAGTATGTAGCAGAGTTTCAAGTGTTCTTTAGTTTAAATATATTTATTAAATTATTTTAGCTCGATTGTGAAAACAAGATCTTTATTTATAGTAATCATGTTCGAGTCCGCTTCCTGGAATTAACTTGTACTGGTGTCATATAAAGAAACATGGTCATTGTAACATTCCTATTTTCTATTTGGATGGCTTACTAGCACACAAACTAAACAAGACCCGAAGGATGGTTTATATATTTTATTATATGTGTTGCATCCAAGTATACACTCATAAACTCCCAAACATCAAGTAAACATACACACAGTAACAATAACGATATTTGATATTAAAGGCGTGGCTTATTCTATCTTGTAGACTTGCTTACTACATCCGTGTCCTAAGTAGGGCTCGAAACCATGATCACTGGTATGGGTTGGCAGACACCAATAGACTAACGCTCATCTTTTCTTTTTTGTACGCAAATGATGTTATAGAAAAGAGACATACTGTTTCCCTCAATAAGAGAATAAATGATATTGAAGAACGCAAAATATATAAATAAACATAAGAAAAGGTTTTGTCTTTAATGAAAACAACATATTTTTGTGTCGCCTTGAAAAGGTGACATATAGGGGTTACTTTTGTCGGCGGCGTCGGCGGCGTCTGTGTCGGCGGCGTCGTTGTCGGCGTCGGCGTCCCCTAAAGCTTGTCCGGAGCATAACTCAGTCACTATAAGTCTGATTGACTTCAAACTTGGTATGCATGCTTCTTTCAATAACCCGAAGTGCAGTGCACAAGGACCGGTACTCTGCAGTTCTTATTTTTTTAAGTTATTGCCCTTTGTTAATTTTCATACTTTAATTTTGTCCGGGCCATTTCTCTTCAACTAAAAAAGCTATGGACTTGAAACTTTATAGGATGATAGATCTCATTAAGAAGAAGTGCAGTGCACAAGAACCGGTACTCTGCACTTCCTAATTTTTGAGTTATTGCACTTTGTTAATTTTCATACTTTATTTTTGTCCGGGCCATTTCTCCTAATATATAAAAGCCATGGACTTGAAACTTCATAGGATGATAGGTCTCATTAAGAAGAAGTGCAGTGCACAAGAACAGGTACTCTGCATTTCTTATTTCTTGAGTTATTGCCCTTTGTTTATTTTCATACTTTAATTTTGTCCGGGCCATTTCTCCTTAAGTATAAAAGCTATGGACTTGAAACTTCATAGGATGATAGATCTCATTAAGAAGAAGTGCAGTGCACAAGAATCGGTACTCTGCATTTCTTAATTTTTGAGTTATGGCCCTTTGTTAATTTTCATACTTAATTTTTGTCCAGGCCATTTCTCCGAAAGTATAAAAGTTATGGACTTGAAACTTCATAGGATGATAGATCTCATTAAGAAAAAGTGCAGTGCATACGAACTGATACTCTGCATTTCTTATTTTTTGAGTTATTGCCCTTTGTTGATTTTCTTACTTTTTTTTGTCCTGGTCATTTCTCCTCAAGTATGAAAGCTATGGACTTGAAACATCATAGAATGATAGATCTTATTGATAAGAAGTGCAGTGCACAGAAACTGCTGCTCTGCACTTATTATTTTTTTAGTTATTGCCCTTTGTTATTTTTCATATTTCATTTTTGTCCTGGCCATTTCTCCTAAACAACATTGTTCACAAGGCGACACATCCGACTCGCGGAGTTCTAGTTTATACTGTGCTATTATTTTTAAAAAATTATTTCTGATAAACGTTTGGAGATAGTAAATTGTCTTCCTAAATGGTAACAAGACGCGTTATGTTGTTTGTCGTGTATTGCTGAAATTGATTGTCGTGTATTGCTGAAATTGATTCATTTCATTGTAAAATTTTGCGACCTGATTTATTATTCAGAAATTATGATGAAATATTAGTTATGAACGAAGAGGGTGTTCCTGACAAGACACATGATGAGGTCGTTGGTATATTTAACAAGGTCAAGGTCGATGGACGAACACGATTCTGTTTGGTAAGTTACAAAAGCGTGCAAATTCTTTTTAAAAGTTTTTCTATCACTTTTTAAATTTTTACCGCGTTATCCATTCGTAGAAGCTTCCATTATATCAACTATTTAATTAACTTCAATATACGAAGATGCAGGCCTGACCAAATTCTGTAAATTTTCTTACTGAAAAAGCTTCACAGATTGATGGCTTATACATATATATATATTCTGACGGAGTCAATATTGATAATGAGTGGCGTTGAAAATGTGATATTGAGAATGGCACGAGCCAATGATATTCTGTTTGAAACACTTAAACTGTTAAGTATCTGAGGATGAACCCAGTTATGCGAATTCATTTCACATATATGCATATGTTGTGGAAGTCTTGTTCCCTGCATAGTTTAAGAAGATGGAACCCCAGACTAATGTTGTGTTTGGCTACATGAAGCGTTTATGTATATGACATATACTTAGCAAACTTTGATATTTTTTCATGCATTTGTTTTTTAAATGAAAATGTCAAAAGATCTCATTATTGATAGGTATTGCGCAGAAAACCCACAGGAAAATGGGTTTGGATAGAAACGAGTGCAGTGTTAGCGCCAGAATCTACTCGGCTTCCCGGTAAGTTACCGGCTGTAATTCAGAATTGGTGTTCGACTGATAAATGTTCGATCACTGCGTATAGGCATAGCAATGTTTTATTTTATAAGTTTACTGTTAAACTCATGACTAATAGAGATAGTGTATTGCATTAATAAATATATAGTGCCCTTGTCATGCATAAGACCCTTCAACATAGAGTTAATACCCTTTGATCTGTTATCAAATATGCATATAGAGCAAAAATCGTTTCCTTGCTATTTTTCTGCAACTTCTGGAAGGAATTCATTAAACTTTTATGGGAACCATTAATTACCTATATCACTGAGTTATGCATATAGAGCAATATTGGTTTCCGCGCTACTTCTCTGCAACGTCTGGCTTGAATTCAATTATACTTTATTGCAAGATGATTCCGTTCCGACCCTTCAACACAAGAGTTATGGCCCTTGATTAGTAATGCAGTAAACATATGTAGCAGTAATCGTTTCCGTGCTATTTCTCTGCTACTACTGGCAGGAATTCAACGAAACTTCAGTTGGAACCATCAATAACAACAGGAGATGCGCATAGTGTTGCCTTGGTCGGTTAGACCCTTTATCACACGGTTATGGCCCTTACTTAGTTATGCAGTATGCATATAGAGTAGTAATCGTTTCCATGCTATCTTTCTGCAACTACTGGTAGGAATTCAATGAAACTATATGGGAACCTTCAATACCAAGAGGAAATGCCCATACCCTTTCCTTGTTCAGGTCAGACCCTTCAACACAGAGGTATGGCTCTTGATTAGTTATGCATTATGTATATAGAGCAAAAGTCGTTTCCGTGCTATTTCTCTGCAACTATTAGCAGGAATTCATGAAACTTTATTGTACTTAACTTAACTTTTAATGTATCACTTTCAGATAATCAACCCATAGTAGAAAAGACAAAGTTCCAATCACTTGACAACAACTATATTGAAAGTGCAACAAACAACCGGTATAAGATCAGTGGAACACAGCGCTACCTAGCAATACGGGATCAAAGAGTTATGACCAGTGTTTTAACGGATACAGATAACACTGACGCAAGTAAATAATAATAAATCTTTGTTTTTATATTTTTTCCTAATAAAAACCATTTTCTCGAGCATACCGTTTACACACCATTTGTCTTATTCTTTTGCAGATCCGATTTTGTACTAGTTTGAAGGGTCGTCCTTACACAATATATAGCCCAAAGCCCAAAAGTGAGATTTCCGCTGTGGCACTGTCGTTTTCTGAACCGGCTGTTTGTTCTTTCTGTATATAAATGTTCGATTGCATAATACGTTTTTTTAAATGTTTTTATTAAAATATCTAGACATGATGTGCAAGGTTCAAAGGTATTGGCAAGATGGAGAAGGTCGTGTATATTTTCAAGCTGCTCTTTGCGACGAAAAACGCCGGAACTTCATCGGAGTTGACAGAGAAAAGAACATAATTGTAAAAGTATGTTTTTACTGCAAGTCATATGAATATATATCTTTAAATAGCAACTAATATATGAAAAATTCCGAAAAGCTATTTTTAGATCATATTGCGCGTGAGAGTTTACCACTGCCCTAGTGAATCTATAGATATCAACTATTTTCGGAAAATATCCATCCGTCTTTTGACCGTTTTTGTAAACCTTATCTGCATATTCAGACACAAAACATATTGATAAACATTAACATACATTTTGTATAATCTTTTCATTCGTGATATTTTGACGCGGCTAGCAATCTTTATTATTTACAAGTCTGGCGTGTTAACCACACGACCATGCTTTAATTATATTCGCTGCATGTTGAGAAAACGATGTACGTTTGTAAAAGTCTAGAAAATAAAAGTTCTCCTAAGTTTACTTCTGCTATTCTGTCATTTGTTTGATAGATACGCATGTTAGTGAAAGTGAGAAAATATTTTTAAAAAAACAAAAAAACAACAAAACGTTTGATGCATATTAAAATAAATATAGAAACATATGTTATCATGCTGCTGTTGTTTTTGCTGTTGTTGTTATTGTTGTTGTTGTTGTTTATTTTTATTTTTTTTTAATAATTTCAGAATGAACCAGAGTGGTTTGATATAAGTGAATTGGGAAGTGAGGTTCAATTTAAAATCGATGGTAAATATTGATATAAAATAAAGAATAAATAAAACAAAATAAAATTTGTAATAAAGATTGTAATTATTATTATTATTATCATAATTATTATCATCATCATCATCATCATTATCATCATTATCATCATCATTATCATTATTATTATTATTATTATTGTTATGATTATTATCATATTTATTATTATTATTATTATTATTATTATTATTATTATTTATTATTATTATTTTGATACAGATCTATACTTGGGATACAATGAACAAGAGGATCAAGTTGATGCCCAGCCGTCTGCTTATTTGTTTCAAGAAATTCCTGGTGAGGTCGAGGTCAGTCAACTAGCTAGACAAACTGACAACAATTCTCTTTCCGGAACAAAAACAGACGAAAGGTCATTGAAAAGGTCATCAAAGAGTAGGTCAAGTTCAAGTTCATCTGACTCGGATAGAAAGAGTGTTCAGTCGAGAAGTAGCGTGTCGTCCGGCAAAACATAAACTTAAAGAAATATGAGCTGCGCCATGACAAAACCAACATAATGGGTTTGCGACCAGCATGAATCCAGACCAGCCTTCGCATCCGCGCAGTCTGATCAGGATCCATGTTGTTCGCTATCAGTTTCTCTACTTGTAATAGGGTTTGTAAGCGAACAGCATGGATCCTGATTAGACTGCGCGGATGCGCAGGCTGGTCTGGATCCATGCTGGTCGCAAACGCACTATGTTGGTTTTGTCATGGCGCGGCTCATATGTTGACATAATGAATATCATTATTTGCATGGAAATAGATCTGTAAGATAAGCAATGAAAAGAAAGCAATAAAAAATGCTCAAATGTCATCGCAACACTTTGTTTAAGAGATAAATTGAGTGATGAAGGATGTTGCACTTTTTCATTATTCCTCATGTACAGACTTAATCAAACCGAGTCTGCAATTTTTATGCTATTTTGTTGTGAGTAATGCTTCCACAACACCACCCTTATCCAGATTTTAGTATAGAAATACTTAAAGGCACATTATACCTCAATCCATATCTTTAATTTTTTAAGAAATGTCAAAGATGTGTTTTAAAATATTTAAATAATGGATTAAGTGTATGTCAGATGTATAACAATTGAAAAAAGAAGCGCTTAACATGCAGTCATATTTCGTAAAGGTAGCAAAATATAAGCAAAATAATATTTTGACCTTTGACTTCCATTCAAATTAGTAATTCACTATAATTATACCAATTGCCAAACAGAACTAAAGCTGCAAAAGATAGTTTATGTATAAAAAAATGAGTATATTTCTGGAAACTGTAACAAGATTACCAAAAAATAAACAGTTTTTGAGAAATAAAAATGAAAGCATTTCTGAGGCATAATGGGCCTTTAATAATCGTAAACTAATAAGACACAGAAAATGGTTTTGGTGTGAAGAGGAAAGTGTGACAAAGTATTTTGTGAATTTGACAAAAAGTTGTTTATAAACTCTTGATTGCTTCGAATTGTAAATACAATCATAAATCATTTTATATATAAATAATATATTTAAATAACATTCTGAGAGAAAATAACGTTTTGTCATAGAATTAACGTGTAAGTGAGATATTTTGTTGTGTAATCTAGAGTTTGGACAATTTAATTTGTGTTGTTAAGAATAATTATATTGTATTATATACTTTTTACATTTATCACAAGCAGTATTCAATTTTATTCGATAAATATATCTTATATTTTGAATTCTTCGTGTTTTTGTTTTACACCTTTATCAAAACATATATGTGTATATATATTATTTCTGTATAAACAAAATTATACGTATAATATCAATGTGTATTCAACGAAAACCAATCAAAATTACTAGATGTAGTATGGTGGCTGATTTGTGCCATTCGTGTCTTCGCCTCTTTAAAGTCGAAATGGCAGAAATCAGCCACCATAAATAACAGTCACAAATAAAATTAAAATAGTACTTCATATGTAATAATAGTCCGTGTTCACACATATGGTAGCTGATAACATTTGACAAATAGTAAATACAAAAACATGAACCACGTGCTGATATACAAAACAACAACATAAGCAAGCGAACTATTTGTCACTGAAAATACGTACTGAACGATTTTTTGTGAAACAAGTCGGGGCGGAACTGCGGAATATATTGATTTTCCATTCTGACGAGCATGAACACTTATTAATATACGCAATTTGGAAACCAAAAGTTAAATGCGTCTTCGTTTAAATATAATACTTGGCCTTGTTTTCCACTGTGAACTCCATAACTCTGGTAATATGATATAGTTTTGTCGATCGTGGGATAGTAATATGAAACTTTTAATTACGTTTTAATACTTATTTCTAGAGTCCGCTGACGTGTCGGAAATATTTATAAAAAGAATTAAAATGGCTGACCTGTGCGTTTTAGCATGCCAAATGGAGATTTCTTAAAGCTGCACGCCTCCAGATTAGCCAAACTATTTCAAGAAATTCAATCTTTAGAAAAATGTATTAAAATCTTAAGAAAAGTAGAAAAAAATCAGTATTTTATTAATTATTTACATGATATGTGCGATTAATGACTGATTTTGCAGTATCAATCTGACAGTATAATTCTACTGCGTTACTTACGCAGTAAGAGGTATTTATGTATATTTTGACCTCTTTTTGGTAATTTACGTGGATTGTAAGTGCCGTTTGCAATGTGTAAATTACTTTCTATGTTCACTTCACAATATACATTTTCAAAATTTTCATGAAAATTAGCATGAATTTGGAGGCATGCTGCTTCAAAAGGCTTTTGAAAAATAAAACTGATGTTTGCTCTTATTGGGCCTTTAATAAATGTATACTGTTAAAGAAAAAAAAACTACGTTTAATATACGCAATTACTAAATTAGAAACCAAAAAAATAATTGCGTCTTCGCTTAAATCTAATACTTGGCCTTGTTCTCCATTATGAATTCCATAACATTAGCTTATGTAATATGATATAGTTTTGTCGATCGTGGGATAATAATATGTAACTTTTAATTGCGTTTTAATACTTATTCCAGATGTCCACTGACGTGTCGGAAATATAAATTAAAAAAAGAAAAGAAAATGGCACACCTGTGCCTTTTAGTTTAAGGGCACATGCCAAATTGAGATTCCTTACTGGGGAGACATATATTATCTACTAATGTACAAGCAGGTGGCTTTGCTGATGAAATGAAAATAAAGTAGTTCATTTTGTTTCTATTTCATGTACTATTATCATTTTTTTTTCATTTCAAAGGTGAATTCGTTTTTAATGAAAAATTAAATTATCATAAGTTTTAAGCATCTTGAATTGTATTTAGTTTAATAATAGTTAATTGCATATATGAATATACATCAATTTTACTTCAACGTATAGGGCGTCCATAGGCCGTGTGGTTAAGGTGACTGACTTTAAAATACTTCCTCCTCACCGCTGTGGGTTCGAATCTAGCCAGAGAAACTAAGAATACTACCCACCTAGCTTGCGGAACATCGGTGGTTCTACTTAGCCTGAAATAATGCAAGAGATCAGAAAAGAAAACAACAACATATCAACAGTATGCATAAAATGGTGTTAAGACCATGGCAATGTTTTCTATACTTAAATGATTTATATTTTAATACGATTAGAACTAAAAACAAGAGGACCAATATGTCCCTAGATCGCTCCCCTGACCCATCGACCTCCTTAGACAAGCACTCTGAACAAGTTTAATGACAATTGAGTAAAATATGTAACCTCTAGAGTGTTAACAAAATTTATCCATATTTGGGTATTGTGACCTAGTTTTTGATCCCAGGTGACCCATATTCAAACTTGACCTAGAAATCATCAAAATAAGCTTATAGACCAATTTCCAGGATATCTGGATGACAACAATAGCCACTAGAGAGTTCACAAGATTTTTCTATTTTTAGCTCCTGTGACCTAGTTTTCCATCAGAGATGACCCATGTTCAAAATCCTAGAGAAGCATCCTGGCCAAGTTTGATGACAATTGAGTCAAAAATATTACCATTACAATATGAACAAGGTGTTTCCATATTTGGGCAGTCTGATTTAGTTTTTGACCCCAGGTGACCCATATTCGAACTTGACCTAGAAATCATCAAAACAAATTTTCAGACCAATTTCTAGGATATTAGGATCAAACAGTAGCCACTAGAGTGTTAAAAAATCTATTTTTAGCTCCTGTGACTTAGTTTATAACCAGATATGACCCATATTCAAACTTGATCTATAAATCATTAAAACAACCTTCGTGACAAATTCCAGAATATTTGGGTCAAAACTGCAGTCGCTAGAGTGTAAACAATATTTTCTATTTTGAGCTCTTTGACAAAAGACGACTCATATTCAAACTTGACCTAGAAATCATCAAAACAATTTTCCTAACCAATTTCCAAAATATTTGGATCAAAACTGCAATCTGATTATGATCCAATTAAAACTGTGACTGCTAGAGTGTCAACAATCCAATTGTTGACGACGAACGACGCACAACGCACGACGACGGACGCCGTACATAGCCCCATCACTGTTCCTCATTGACCACTTTTGTGGTCAGGTGAGCTAAAAATAAACGCTGCATTTGTCTGAAGGGACGCTATAGAGAGGTTGTCAAAATAAATATATATTTAAACAGGTATGGCGATAGCAGACGATGTATTTGCACCAAATCATTTTACATAAATATCTAAATATAACAACTGACGCTATGGTAATTTATCTGTTTACAATGTCAAAGCTTTAAAATCTATACATAATGCCAGTTAACAGTTTCACTTTCCGCTAAATTAATTCCAAATGCGGCTGTAAATTTGAATGGTTCACTGAATAAATGAGATTGTATTCTTTTGCATATTTTATTTGTTTAATTGGCAAAAACTTGACACGCACTATTTATAGATATTCAAAAAACACTTCCGTTGCGCCTAATATTTAATTTCATTTAAATAAATGCTTTACGTCACCTTAAGAGAATTTTTTCATGGGATAAGACCTAAGACAAAATAATAGTAATTCATCATAAAACTGTCATATTAAATTATGTCGAACTAGATAAACATTTTTTGTTCAAGAAATAATTTGTAAGAATATCCAAATGATACGTTATCAATATTTGAAATAGTGCTTGAAAATGTGCCCATTGTAGACCAATCCACTTTGAAAAGCATTGTTCATCTTGGGTGGGGCATTCCTTTATGTCCTTAATTTACTAAATTTATGTATACATTTACTCAATGTTATTTTCAGGTTAATATTTGTTGTTTCTCGCCATTATGCGATAATGGCCTAATGATGTACCTGGGGACCATCATCGCGTAGCAGCAACAAAGTATTAACGTCTTTAATACCTATTCTGGAAATGTATACGTATACGGCGTTTAAACATCGCCGCTGATATTGGTTATCGCCCTTTCCAAGAAACGGACAGTATTGTCAATGAAAAAAGTTGTGAAGTCACAGATTGGTAATTGCTCCCTAGGTTTTCTCTGTCTTGTTGGTGGTTCTAGTTCTTCCTTTGTTGCAAATTGCCTTATAAGATCTATGTTGAATGGTGAGAAAAATGTGCAGCCTGACCGGAACTTGACCGACTGAGCTATCCGGCCGCTCAAACAAACACTTCCCCTAAATATTTTTGAACCGTCACATACTCCTCTGCTATATTGAAATTCGTTTTCGAAGCATATATACTGACCGTACTTGAACCCGGGACCCATGGAATACGGTACCGCGGCTTTACCGACTGAGCTATCTGCCGCTTACACATCCTATCCCCTAAATAGCGAACAGTTTTAAACCGTGACATCTATCTAGTGATGACGCCCAAGATCACGATTTATATCCTATACATGACTAGATATAATTCTTGAGCTTTGATTTTTTTTTAAATTTCTTTATACAGTAGATCTACCGTCAATCAGAAGTCAGTTTCGGAATTTCTGAGTGTCATGTTTTGGCTTTAGTAAAAGTATTGGCCTTTTTCTTGAGTTTATAAATCTTCAATGTTAATCTTTGCTGATTGCGATTGATTACATGTTTGTCGCGTTTCCAATGTTTTGGCGCGTTGTTGTGAATGTTGCATGAACGCCGCCAGAAATGGAATTGTTTTTATTCATGTACATTAGTTTTACAAACAAATATGTTTTTTTAGTTATTAAATTTAAAATGTAAATAAGGTCGAATTATGTTGGGAATTTTGTCATTTATGGAGGTTTCTGAGAGAGCTAGGTCTTGTGACATTCTAAATTACTCTATAAGTCTCAGGTGTCTGTTCGTGCCTGAAATAATTCACGGAAGGGCACCTGAGGTCTTCCCTCGACCAGTAAAGCTGGAACGTCGCCATATGACCTAGCTATACTGTGTCGGTATGACGTAAAACCCAATCAATCAAACAAACAAACAAGTCATATTAATATGTTTATTCTCTGTTGTCTTTACAAATATACCAAAATATTAGACCAATCCACATTACTAATAGAAGCCAATCGATTGAAACCATTGCGACGGCAAACCTAAGTAGGTATTTGTCACAATCTTCATGAGAACATCCTGTTGTTTCGTTCACCTGACACACCTTAAAGTCTTTAGACATAACAACACCGTAGGTTGGATACACCCAAACTGTTCCTGTAACCGAAGGTCGTGTATCAGTTTATATAAAATATACTTTTAACAATTAAACATTCAGTGGTAAAAAATAACTTTTAAAAGTTTAAAGTGTGCGCTTTTTTATTCTTGATCCTATTTTATAACTTTCAGCTAAAAAGGCACATCATACTTTTGTCGAACTTGTACGCTATTATTACTTCTAAGTGATGAAAAGAAAGGGCTGAAACGTTTACTTTCGTATACTTCAATACCATGTTAATTATCTACAATAAACGACAAGTTTGGAAAAAACATGGAATCTCGTTCTAATGACAATTGAACAAGGACAGTAAAATAATATCTTACTTATTTTATTTATGTCTTACAGGCAAACAAGTTTATAAATTTAAAACCTTTTACAAAAAAAATCCGACCGTAAGTTGTTGTTTTTTCACATGGCCGTTGTGAATTTTGCATGAATATCGCCAGAAATGTATGGAATGGTTTATTCATGAACATCAGTTTTACAAACATATTTAAGGTCGAATAATATTGGGAAGTTCGTTATTTATGGAAGTTTCTTTTATTTTTATAGTCTTTTCGCCATCATTTTCCGTCACTTGCCGGACAGGTTGTCCTCATGTTACATGCATGTCAGTCATTACTAAATAATGAACATATTTTTGCATAAATTTACCACTTCTGAATTGTCCAGCAGCAATTTAACAGGATTAACTTCAGTTACTTAATCATTTAAGTTTACAAAGATGCAAATATCAAGGAGAGGGTTTGCATAAAAGTACTTACCGCATATCAACCAAGCAAAACTGAAAAAGAACCCAAAACACCCACAGACCAGCCGGCCACAAGTTTCGATGACACCTTTTCCCTTGCAACTCAAACCACTGAACATTAATGGAGCAACTCCACTTATAACGAGATATACTGGTATACACTTTTCAATGGTACAGTTGTTTAGATTTGTCAAACCTGGTAAGAAAAAAATATAATATTCAGTCTTGCACCTAGATATACGTTCTAAACAGTATAATCATCAATTGAGTCTTGGAATGATAACACATAATACGTTAACATTTAGAAGATGCATGATTTGAGTCATAATTATGCAACGAAGTACTACATCTTTTTCTCTGATGCTCTATTGCATGTAGAACAAACAATTAACCGTATGCAACATAATCAACGTTTGCATCTAAACCCCGCCATCCTCCGTAACCCATGCGTACTTGTAACGTATACACTTCATTTGAGGAATGTAGTTCAGCGGATTCAGAGCCAGTGGATTCCCCTTACTAAACCCCAAATATCGACATATTTACAAAGCCATAAAAATGTTTCAAGATTAATTTTTGGACCCCCAACCTGATGACAAAAGAAGTGATTATCTCCTAGCAACAGTACAGAGCCGTCAAATCCGTCTGGCATGACTCTTCAGTGTTGGTATATCATTGTTTTGAATTTTGATAATGAAATTTCAAATTTCAAGCTGTACATATCTCAAATTCAGAATGTTAAGGATTATGAAAATAAAATATAACTGAGCAATGTTATTTTATCATTTGTACATACCAATACCTATTTTTGCCGTGCCAAAACCGAGTAAACTTACTACCAAGATACTCACAGCATAATAGATGGCTGAAAAATATATAATTATACAACTGTATATCTCTCATAAGAAATTTAATTATAACTATGGGGGCTTTTTCGTTAGTTCTATTTTCTTTTAATTTTGTTCTTGTTGTTATTTTCCTACTTCATTAATTAATTATTTAATTAATTGTTTGATTATTTAATTAATTAAGTAATTGTCAAATTAATTAACTCATTAATTGATTAAATAATTAATTAATTAATTGTCTAATTAATTATCTCGTCATTGCATTTTAGTTCGTAGAATGAATAAACTAAGTTAAGTAACAAAATTGTCTATCGAATAACCATTGGTTTAAAATTTTATCCCAGATATTTGATTGGTCTAAAGCCAGCACAAAATGTATATTGACATAAGAAAATAATGATATCAGATATATAATATAACCAAAAGCTCTATGCAAAGGGCAAAAAAGTCGAGAAATTGGATTTGTCTGCAATAACAATTTGAATAGCAATTACCAAGTAAATTGTGGTAAAGACATAAATAAAACACGAAAACATTTTATTTTTTTAAATCTCCTATTTAACCTAGCCTGCAATGGAGGCTTTTGTAATGCAGTCACAAACCTGTCTGTATACATCTACTAGTATCCTGGGTTTCTTTATTTACAAGCATGTTTCAATTGTTTTATTTTATGCTTCAATAAGCGTTTACATCATATTCTAATGCATTGCCATAAATGAATCTTTCCGGGAATGTCCAAATAAATCATGTCTCACATTTGCATTGTTTCATTTTTGAAAGAAAGTTCCTAAACTATTTATATATCCTATTGTTTATATATATAATTGATTGGTTTATCCGAATAAAATTGGTATATCCAGTATAACACTTATTTTGCATTTTTGCCCTACCCAGAGAGCGCACGCTCGAAATATCTTTCATGTTACTATAAAGTTTTGTAAAAGAAAAGGAAAGAAAAAAAGAGAGATCATTCATTTATCAGTAAAATTGATACATAAAAATTTTATTTGAACAAATCTTAAAGATATACTATGCTAAAATTTGATATTAGTAAATATTGATAATTGCTTCACAGTCTTTTTGTAAATACGAGTATACAATTAACATGTTTTTACTTCAAACTAAGTATGCTATTTTTAAAATTCTACACACTATAGGTGGTCACAATATAATTATATACTAGTAGTGTTATTAAAAATCTGCCAGATTTTTTAAGAAAAGACCAACTTTACTTGACATGTATAAGGCAACGCAGCTTCTCATATTCATTTTTTATTATCTTATTCCAATTAGACCAATTTAGCAAGAATTTCAAAGATTTCAATAAATTTCTGTGATTAAAATATAAATTGCTCAAGGATGAGCATAGTGTATCTTTAATAAAACCTAAGCAATAAATAAATACTAATTAAATCTGAAAAAGAAATGAAATAATAATTGTACCTGAAGCACTGCATGGCTTGATTGCCTCATCGACATCATCTTTCCCTTTATCCATTATTTTACCCAGTACCTACTTGATACTATTTGTATTGTATTAAAGCATTAATTACTTAAGAATTTAAAAGTACATAATATCAACCGATTATATAACATATTGTTTTCATTCAGTCTGTATTGTGTTTACAACAAACAAGTGAACTAGGATAGATGGACGGAAACGCTTAAAAGCAGTACTTAAAAATTACGTAAATACACTCAACTGTAACTTGTTTTCAGAAAAATTAAATTTTCTTTCTATTCCATGATCGTTCAGTTGAATTGGTATATGGACTAATTTTCGCTTTCGATCAGTGTAACACGAGGACTGGGGACCATTGTTTGCTGTTTCAACACATAATATGACCTTCACATTTTTTTTTATTAAAGTTCATATATTTCTCATAAGAAAGTAAAAAGATCAGCAATGGTCAAACAAAAATAAATATTATTTAGTCGGTTAAAGTAATAAGGTGCATTGTGCGGCAGTTTTCAACTGAATTTAATTTATACTTTCCTTTTGATTATGAAAGTTTGGGGGGGGTAAAACTTCAAAAAATAATAACCAAACCGGGCTTGAAACTTAGATTACATTTGAAGAATAATATTCAAACAGGGCTTGAATTTTCGGTATCCTTCTGGGAATAATAACAAAACTGGACGTGAAACTTCGGTCACCTTTGTGTAATAATAACCAAACTGGACTTGAAAAACAAGAAATAATAACCAAACGGCTTAAAACTTCGGTTACCTTTAAGAAATATTGAATTTTCGTAACCTTGGGGAATATTTACCAAACAGGGCTACATTTTTGGTAATCTTTGAGGAATAATAACTAAACTTGACTTAAAACTTCGGTAAACTTTGGGGAATGATAACCAAACGGCTTGAAATGTTGGTAACCATTTAGGAATAATACCCAAACAGGGCTTGAATTTTCGGTACCATTTGGGTAAAAATAACCAAACTGGACTTGAAACTTCGGTAATTTTTTATAAATAATAACTACACTGAGTTTTAAATTTCTGTATCCTTTTAGGACTTGAAATTGCGTTAATCATTGAGAAATGATAAACAAAACTGAATTATATTGTATAATGTAAAACAAAACTATCTCAGCTATGATAGGCATCTTTAAGACCCAGGCCAAAACTTAATGAAAAAGTTTAAGCTTTTTGTTTCCAAATATAGTTTATTTTTTATATTTACTACAAGCATGTTCAAAATAAGTATAAGCACAGAAGATCAAGCTAAATAAATAAACACAGAATATCTGGAAATGGAGTGATCCCTCAAAAGCAAGGAAAGCAATAATACTTAAGTGTATATGAAATAACAGACTCGGTTTGATTGAGTCTGTTCATAAGAGATAGTGTAAAACTGTGGCATCTCAGATAATGTAAAAATGTGACATGACATCTCAGATAATGTAAAAATGTGACATGACATCTCAGATAATGTAAAAATGTGACATGACATCTCAGATAATGTAAAAATGTGACATGACATCTCAGATAATGTAAAAATGTGACATCACAGATAATGTAAAAGTGTGACATGACATCTCAGGTAATGTAAAAGTGTGACATCTCAGATAATGTAAAAGTGTGACATGACATCTCAGATAATGTAAAAATGTGACATGACATCTCAGATAATGTAAAAATGTGACATGACATCTCAGATAATGTAAAAATGTGACATGACATCTCATATAATGTAAAAATGTGACATCTCAGATAATGTAAAAGTGTGACATGACATCTCAGATAATGTAAAAGTGTGACATGACATCTTAGATAATGTTAACCCATTACTTCATGAGCATTTTGTGAAAAATGGCTGTTTTCATTGAAAAGTCTCCCGTTACAAGTTCAAATTGCTATAATACTATAAAAACTGCTTCAACACTAATCAAACTTGGCACAAATGTTGACTGGACCATTGCCCTTGCAACAACATACTCAGGCTTAAATTTTCTGTTACCATGGCAACGAATGGGACATCTCAAAAATGCCAAAAATCACTATTTTGCGTTGATTTTTTTCCATCAAAATTGATTTCAAAGGTGCTGCAACTTCCTCAAAGGATTGAGATAGAGTCAAAATTGCTTTTCAGCGTGGTTACACGTTACCTTATTGATCAATTCTGGGTCATTTATATGGCCTCTCACAAGTCCAAAATTTTCTTGGCGATGAGGGGGACTCCGCCCCCCTTCAAACCCCCCAAACAGAAGGGGGCACATCCCCGTTCTGGCAACCCCCTGATGTATATTTGGTTGGGGGCCGCGCCGAAAAAGAGGTCACTTTTTTTAACAACATTTCTTAAACAAAAACAAGTGTTGGGGGCCTAAATAAGGCATTTTTTCACCATTTGAGACAACAAAAAGGGAGGGTGAAAAAGGCGTGTATATAACGTAATGGGTTAAAGTGTGACATGACATCTCAGAAAATGTAAATATGACATGACATCTCAGATAATGTAAAAGTGTGACATGACATCTCAAAACTGTAAAAATGTGACATCACAGATTTAATGTAAAAATGTAACATCTCAGATAATGTGGAAATTGTGACATCTCAGATAATGTAAAAATGTGACATGACATCTCAGATAATGTAAAAATGTGACATCTCAGATAATGTAAAAGTGTGACAAATCTCTCA